GAGGGCGCCCCCAACCCCCCCCCCCCCCCCCCCCATTTATTCAACCCCGCTCCTTAGTCCCGTAGTCCATTCGCACACACGTCCACCCACCTCTGCCTTTAATAACATGTCTCACGTAGATAGTAGTTGTGGCTCCTGCAGTTGTTATATGTGATTATTGAGTCTCTGTCAGAAGAGCGATGCTCTCTGTCCTACGACAAAATGTTTCCAAATATGAGGCAACCCTCTTAGTAAACGTTCTACTCATTCACGCTGTAGGTAAAGTGCAAAACTGTATCCACGTCATTGTTACGTCTGATCGGTTCATACAGAGACTTCGATGGAAATGATGGAGGCCGGTGAAATGAACTGAACCTTAGGGGCTGTAAAAAAGTCAAAGTCGAGATCAGGCTTTTCACACACAAAAAAAACACATTTCCTATATAACATCACACAGATATTAATGTGACATTAACTCAGACTCACACAGACAGAGACGCGACGCACATCTTTTTTCGTCTCTTGTCCTCAGGTAGCTCGTTGGGAATTTTAAGCTATTAGTTGAGCTTAATGTTGGCGTTTAATCGTGCGGCTTGCACCGTTGTCTTCTCAGCTGTTCTTTGTTGGCAAAGAAATAAAGCTCATAGCAGAGGCCAGAGTGATTATTGCTCTGTGTGTTTGCGGAGACAGAAAATACATGCTGCCTCCCCCCAATCCCCCTTCACATACAGTCAGTGGCCCTGCCATTATGCAGCCACAAATTGTCCACAGATAAAAGAGCTGGAAAGCTAACACACAAGATAAAGAGTCACTTAGCTGACTTACCGCTACATGGTCTAGTATTACAGGTAAATGTATACGCCTGGTACGCCTTGAGTTATTTCAGCTATTTCAGTCTGGCAGTTGCTTCTTTAGTTGCTGTCAAAAAATTAAAGCTGATTAATGACAGAGTAGCTGTGGATAAATCACAGCTAACCCTTATTAATCAGGATTAATTAATCAAGACGATGTCCAACAATATCAATCTACAGGTATTAACCATCTATAAATGTCTTTACCCTCACTGAAGTGAGTAAGGCGGATACATTTTTCTAAAAACACTATTTATTTTTTCCCAAATTGTAGTCAGTTCAACATCAGCTGCCTGATTCTGTTGAGCTTTACTCTCTGTAAATACTATACAGTAGGCAGCGGCACTACTCTGATAGTACACAGCAAAGATCCCAGTCCACTCAAAACTGCTCCCACAGTCCCAGAACAACTTCAGAATTTCATCTTCCTCAGATTTGATCCAGTTTTTACTAAGAAAAGCCCACCCTCCCCTCTACTGCCTGACACGCTGCTGTAAGTGTTGCATTTCACACAAATGTCAACCACAAACTTTAGGACTTCAGCAGTTGCACTTGCCAAAACCAGTGATAATCTGCGACCATTTTCAAGCTGTATTCCCTGTAATACATGTCACAGCATGCACACCTGTCAGCATTGGGAGCCCCTGGTAGTGCTGATTTATAAAGCAGATGAGCATGTTATCTTTAAAAAGTAGCCTTCAGATCATGAAAAGTTTCATATCAACAACCGTATCACTTTCTAATTACACGGAAGCTCGTACTCGGTTAAATCAACGAGGCGAATCGATGAAAAGCTAACCGTTATTTATTATTATAATTATTATATGTCACTGTTTTCAATACACAACACTATAGTCTTAGCCTATTGTATCTGCACTGTTCATCATATCTAGACCAAGTATCTCTCACATCAGCCACTGGACCAGTGGGGAAACCATGAGCTACATTCAAGTTCAGAACATTTGACTTTAATGAAAATGACAATGAACTATTAAACACACATTTGATTATTTCATACATATATGTATATATAATAAATGTCCTACAATAAACGCCAACCTTGTGTTAGCCACTGTTGCTACACATGTTCAGGTTTTTCTCACTCTAAGGTTTTTTAACCTAACTCAGATAACAGATAACAGAAAAAATAAGGAATAGACTAATAAAGCAAAATTGTCACAACGTGACAAAGCTACATTTGGACAATCCCTGCTCAGGGTTGGGATTTAATGAAAACTCATTTGAATGCATCAAATATTCCCCGGTCTCTGCTCCTGTAACAGGATCATTTCTCAGTTTCTGATCGATGCTGTGAATTTGCAAATGTCACAACGTTAGTATAACCAGGTTTTGTAATTTGTGCCTCCACATTCCGAGGCCCAGACACCGGCTGATCAAACACCCTGCAGGTTTCACATTTAAACAGGTCATTTATCCCAGTGCTGGTTCTGCTGAGGCAGCTTTGACAAATGGGGCCATCGCCTTCTAATTTCTGTGGTCACCGGCACTGGTCCTGGTCCTGGTGTTTTATGTAACCATCCTGTGGACTGTGCGTGGAGCAGAATGTACCTAGTGTCCCTGAACGTCATCAAATACAAAGGAATTGGTGTATTGGGGGGTTGTTAAAAGGAATGTACTCTGAGAAACTAAAGCTACGCCGTTCTTTTGTGGTCATATCACTGCAGGTGAAACACAAAGAATAGAAGAAAACAGAGCTTTAACAATACCCCATGAAGTCAGTGATGCGGTCACACAGTAAACAAAATATGTCCCACAAAGTTGGTGCACTTCAAAAATTGCTTTTAAAAAACACTCTTTTTCAATTACATTCAGTAACTGTGAAATTAAAGCCTGCACCAATTAGCATGGTGTCTGAACTGAAGATAATAGCTGTTTCTGTTTTGCAAGTAGAATTTTCTCTCTCTCTCTCACTAACACATTCTGGTTGAAGTGACCTATCCTCGGTGTTGATGATCAAGCCTTTGAACTCAAAACCTCTTGAGCGTTAATAGGACGAGGAACCTCCCAGTTATCATTTTTCTGTCTTTGCCTTTTGAAATGTATTGCAGGCTTTTCTTTCTGAGTTTATTTATCTTTACATTAAATCCATAAATAAATATAGGGATTTTTGCGCTATACATTTTGTTTAAAGTGATTCACCAGATTGCTTTGAGTCTCTATTGTATTTTTGGTAAATGTACCAACTTTTCCAGCAACGGGGTTTATTACATTGGGTACAAGGTGTGAGTTGAGCAAGTACTGGAGAATTAGAAATAGAATATTACAACACTGTTAAAAATAATTGACTTTTAAACGGGTTTCTTCAGGGTATGTTAGCTTAGCTGTCAACAGTAAAGACTCAGATGTAACATTTATTTATTAATAACAATAACCCAGGCTTCACATATTAAAGTCTTAATCATTAGCTTAAAAATACACACATCTCTACACTAAGTCAGTTGAATCATTCTTACAAGAGTATCTTGCCAATTATTAATTACTATATCAGTAATATTTATTTAATTCACACTGTGCAAGTGTCAGATGAGGAGGAATAAGGTGTTAATTAGGGACAAGAAAGGAAACTGAGCTGCTGCGATGAAAGCAACTTAGATTTTTCCTTTGACGTGGATAACGCAGGGTAATAAAATATAGAGCCTTCATTCCCAAAGTCTGGACCAGGGTAGGTGGCACATTGTTGGGCCAGGGTGATAAAAATCCAAATAACACATAGACCAAAAGGATTTTTGTTGTTGTTGCTGAAGCAATACAATGATACGTTGTACTCATTGTGATGAATACAAGTGAGACATTTGGTCCAAACAGTTGGTTAGTCTTTAGTGTGTCCGCTAGTAAAATGTTTGGGAAACACTGATCTAGAGAAACAGATGGTTCCATCAGGAGATAAAAAAAAAGCATGGTTACAAATATTTGTCGGTTTGTTTGTGTTATTATTCAAAATATTCCTTGATTAAAATTCAGAAAATAAAACAAATCACCTGCCTATTTGCCAAGTTAAAACTCATTACAGTTCAGTGTCGGCCATTGTTTGCGATCAGGGTTGAATCACCTTTTTTTTTTCACATTTCTTTTTTTAAATCATATTGAATGTTTGATGAATTTTTCACACCAACCGCCTCCTGCTGCTGCTTGAATAATGACTCGCCTTAAAGCAAAGATCTGTAATGAAGTCAGGAAAATTGTGTTTGGAAACTCTCTACAAGTCATTGAACATTTCCTGTTGTGGCCAGACATGAGCAGTCGTTGACAGAAAAGAAACAGACCAACTGTTGACAGACAGACAGTGGGAGTGGGGTGATCCTGATAGTCGATCCTGGTTCTTATGTTTTACCCATAAAAATAATATAAGAAAAAAAACCCCAGTAATTATATTCATTTGACCAGTTCCTTACTCTTTTAACCTTAAAAGACATTTCTGTCCTGCATCTTTGTGTGTTGCTTCATATCCGTGACTTTCTCTTCGCGACCTTTATATTTAGGCCATTTTTGATATGACGGTTGACATTTTTAAGACACTTTGAGACGCTCTCCATCAGGCTCGCATTATTTAAGTTGCAATTCTATTATCCATCAGTGGCTGTTGCCTGTTTCTATCTATTTCTTGGTGACAGCCTGGTAATGCCATTATATCCCAATGTTTTTGTTAATAGCCAATGATAAACCCTTACAGTTACAAACTCAGTGGTTGATGAAGGTAGTAGCTATAGTATTTTGTTGTCTAATAATGTAATTTGCTGTGTCTTTTGGAGTAATTGTTGAACCATTTAACGATATTCCCAAAGTGTCTGGACATGAGTAAATGGGTGAAGTAGAGACCATCGGCTGATAATCAGAGATCAGCTTTGTAGCTTCTATTTCAGTTTCTGAAAATGTAATTTGTCAATAAGAAGTGTTTCAGACACTTTTTGGGTAAAACATAAAAAACAGGGTCGGCTCAGAATCATACACACGTTGGCTGGTTGGTTTGGGGGGGGGGTTGTTTTGAGTGGCAGCAACTCTGTGCTCCCATGGTGTTCTTTGAGAGCCGACACATGGTGGCATGTTGTGCTGCTGGTGGTTACAGCCCGCAGCGTCTGTGCAGCACAGCTCCTGTTTTTCTATCTCCGGTGATTCACTACTGATTTTGCTTCATTTCAAATCACTGATGGTTTCACAGCAGGTATTAGCGAGCTGAGAAAATGCAGCACTGAAAACGCACCGTTACTGTGCTCACAGTGGTTAAGGATCTGTGCTGTTCATTCATCTAAAGCCACTGAAATAGGATTAGCCTACACTGTTACTCATCATCTAAAAGAAAATAGGGGGAAGAAAATCACTGTATGAGCAATAACAATAATAATGTTCATTTCTCTTTGTGGAAAATTTAGCCGCACCGGGAAAAAGCCTCACGCTCTGCTGCCTGTACTTAAAATTACTCTCAGTCTCACGATTCCTTCCCTGTGACGACAGAGCAGGAGCAGAACTCCAGCTCTGGCCTTCCATCATCTAAGTATAGGACCCTCCATGAATACTGCACTGTGTGTCTATGTACACAAAACAGCTTTTTTTTTCTATTTCTCTGTAAGCAATAATGACGTTGCGTTGAAAGGCTCGCTGAGGGTTTGTCTTCTGCTGAAGGATGAAGCCATATCTGAAAGGTCACACACTTCCTCAAGTCAATATTTAATCCATTTTTCCTACTATAGGGAAGAGGATTATGAGTCACAATGTGCTGCCAACGACAGTTCCCCATATACACTCCCCCGACTAATGTCGTCACTGAGATGTAAACTCGGTCTGCAGGTCCATGGAAAAATTAGTGTAAGTGTCTCTTCGGGATATTTCAGGAAGCAGGACACTTGTCTTCCTTCCTGGAGTCTGGACGTGTGTGTACATTTGAAAAGATTGACTGCAGTTCAGAGCAGGTGGATGTCTGCACACTGTTCAAATGTCAGCCAAGGGTGAGTGTGGAGGGGAGGCTGTTATGAGTGAAGGCTGTGATTGATTACAGAGAGCAGATCTCGCCTTCTTATCCTTCAGACTTGAAGACAAACCCCCACATTGGCTCCTATTCAACACGCAGGATAATAGGTTTGGAAAAAAAAAACAGTAAAACACAACGAGTACCTGTATTTATCTGTGTTCCTGTAGTATATAAAATGTGTATTGTAACTGGTGACTAATTATCATGTATATAAAGATTAGACCAAGTCTTTGGCTCGTGCATTCTGTTCCTTATCTTCTTTTTTCCTCAGACAAAACAAAACATCAGAACAGCAACAGGTTATTTTTCAAAAACAGCTATAGGGACAAATAATTCACAGAAACAACTGTGGAATTTTGTCATAATGTTTGATGATGTCAATGTTCTCCTGGGATTAAGAGACATGAACATAGTAATACGTCAATGACTGGAAACCTGACCAGACACCAAGGGCCTGAAAATCTACAAAAACAGCAACTAAAAAACAACAACTAAAAAATAGACAAGCCTTTTCTGAAATTGTTCTTGTTAATCATCAGGCGGTGGCTGTAACAGGAAGTACAGATTTGATAGGTTTCACAGGTAAAACCTAAGGATGCTGTTTACAGAGTGAAAGACCAGAAGGCAGAATGCAGTGTGTTCTTCGTGTGGAACAGTTCTGTTGAACTGCCGTTACATAAACAGCTTTTCAAAAGTGAGCAATCCTCCACATTCTGTCTATAAAAAGACTCCTCATTTCACCCCACTTGTAATCTGGCTTTTGTATTCTCTCCATTCTAACGGGTTTCGGCTTTGAGGAAAACCCTGCCGTGAAAGAATGTGTGGGTTTTTTTCCTCAAGTATGGCGACAAATAAGAAACAAAACTGATCCATGGTTTCAACATAATGACATTAACATTTAAATGAGTTCTCACTGAGAGATTCAGGCTTTTAAGATGCTGAGAAAATGCATATGAAACGGTACCAAAAGGGAAAAGTAAATAATAATAAAAAGGGAAGTAGGAATGAAAATGTATATGGAAATGAAACCAAAAATGTGTGTGTGTGTGTGTGTGTGGGGGGGGGGGGTGTTAGAATGTAAATGTAAATAAAAAGGAAATGAGAATAGGATTACATTTGGATGGACTGTATCAGAGGAACAGCTAAGGTCAAGAGGTTTAGAGGTAAACTACAACAGACTTTCATGGACTGGACATGAGTTAAAGGGAGACAGTAGAACCTATTAGCCACAGGATGTTACAGAAAGAGCTGTTAAGAACCAGACATGATTCATGACAGTAGAGAATATGAAAATGGTCGGTGTAATTTTACCTGGCGCCATGGACAGGAAGAGATGGAGGCAGCGGGTCCATTTTGTAGATCACTGAAAGGTAAAGCCAAAGAAAGATGATTTACATGGTTGTATTTATGTTTCTGTTCCCATCTGTTAATGTCTCACATATTAGAGAAAACTTCATCTGGACATCATATAAAAACAGGTCTAAATGATTGGTTAAAAAAAAACCAAAACTTTGCCTTGTTTCTAACTGTGGAAATACCCTTTTAATGTCAATAACACTCTTGTCACACATTGTGTAATATTTATTTTACTTTGTTACTCATGGTAACCGGTGTCTAAAAATGATAGTATTCACTTGTGTCCGTTCTCCAATCTTGTTGTGCTGCCATCAAGTGGACATAAAACGGTAAACTTAAAAAACTGTAAAAGCCATCCTTCAAGACAGACATTAATTAGCCAAGGCCAAATGATTTAGATGAAAAATAAAGACACAGAAAAATCTAAATATTTTTTCAGGAAGAAGTCACCCTAAGATTAACCTATAAATATATTAAGTGTCTAAAGTTTGTATAAAATGTTGCAGAATAAATACAAAAACCATTTAGTATTGTAAATGTACAAAAATAAATGGATGATATCAGGTGGACAGACAGACAGACAGACAGCACTTTATTAATTCCTTGAGAGTTCCCTTTGGGAAATTTAGGAATTATTAAAGTTTCATAGTATATTATGTATATAGCTGCAGGTCAGGAGAATGAGTGTATTTCATATTTATTTCAGTGTAAAAATAGCATATTTACCTGAAAAATCTGCGAAGTGACAAATATTTCTGAAGACCTTCAGGACGAGTTTTGGATACCTGAAAACTCCCTGAAAACACAGACTTCAATCTTCTTTTCCTAACAAAACTGAGCTGACCTTCAGTGAGAAAATGGTAAAAACAATATCACCAATTTTATATTTCTTTATATCATTATCTTCACTACCTACTTTCTGCCATGTTTAGAAAATGGCAGTTTATTGTTTCTGTATTAATAACATTCTTTAGTTATATACACTCTCCATACTTTCACATTCTTTATTTGTTATGCATAAAATTTAAATTAAACAAACAAACAAACCAACAGAGTCGTTGCACAAGTGGCTGCAGTAGAAGTTTTCCTCTTAGGCAGCAGAGATTTGCTGTATTTCCAATATATTAAAGATAATATGCTATTTAGTGTCTGTAAAAATTCAATGCATCGCATGTAGTTCCTCTAACCTACAGGGTTCTGGTCAAACAGTGCATCAAAAACATCAGGTGCTGTAAATCATTTCAACTTCATGCATCAGCAGCAGCTTCTACTCTACACATCAGACTGACACCAACAGATCTTTGTCAGTGTCATGCAGTATCACTGAGGGTCGAATGTACGGGATCTCTGATCGGACCAACTCTGACTGAATCACCTGTCAGTTGGTAGAGTGATGTCATCAGAAAGATGGTCTCCTGCAGAGGAAAAAATAAATAAAACACATTTTCTTGGATTGATTATTTTTATTTAAATTTGAAAATAACCTTTACTTGTAGTTACAATTATATGTATAACTTTTATATAGATATTTAAAGTTAAGCCATTACTAATATGTCTAAGTGAATACAAAGATATGCAATGTTATGAGAGTAGATACATATGTATGTGTGTCCGAGTGTGTGTGTATGTGTGTGTGTTACCCGTGCAGGGAGCAGCCTGGTTGTCGTAACTGGAATTGTTGCTCTGCAGCACTTCATCTTCAGTGTCACTGTCACTGCTTGTTGCTGCCACAAGACCAGATGAGGGCTGATCTGCAGTCATTGAAAACAGGAGATTTTTCACTTTTAAATTGTTATTTAAAATGTAATTATAAAAAAACAAATGAAATGAACTGACCTTCCTTTGCGTGTGGCTGTGTAGAATTAGTCTCCAGCAAAGACTGATGGGAGTTTGCTGAACCTTCAGAGTCACAGTTCAACATTGTTGCCCTACAGCAGGAGGAAAAGGATGAGCTGACTTCTGCAGACATTTCTATAAAAAAAACAAAAACCTTTTTGCTCTAGATACAAAACTACTACATCTGCTGAGACACACCCCAAAGTCCTGCTGCTGCCATTTTTACTGACAATCAAATAGCTTGGTGCTCTCAAGGAGAAGATGCCGCCATCCTTTGGCCCTGAGGCGGCGAACAGCTGCTGCTGCTCCAGGGAGTACTGCTGCTTGGAGGTGGAGGCCTGGTCTGATGAAGAGCTGCTGTGAGACACGTGGGAACTCTGTGCACTGTTAGCTTTTAGCAAACCTGCAGATCAGAAAGAAGAAAAAAAATTGATATTGGCATTTTAAATAGGGGAAGCTGCATTTGTTCAGTGACGAGGGAGCTTTAGCATGGACATACGTCTGTCCCAAAAATATTGTGTTTGCACCTTAGATATTTGATTCAAGTGCAGAATCATAAGATCAGACTTTATTCTTCCCACACCGAGGAAATTCAGAAAATCATAGGCCCTTTCACGATAAAGACAAACAATGATATCTTGAATTCATGTTGCAAAGGACTTGTAACTATTTTGAGCACATAATGCTCATAATATGACAACAACATATACAGCCTGTCAAGATGAGGAAGTCAACTTGGTCTAGGGTGACCAACACTCAATAACTGAATTTCAACTACTGACCTTCTGCACCTCCAACCTCTTTTGGGTGGTGACTGAGCTCAGTGGAAGACTCTGCTCCACTCAGCTCCTTGTCCATCTCCTCTGGATTCCTCTTCATAACCACTGAATCACTACTGTCCAGAACAGGAGACAGAGACTTCCTGGCTATTCACAGAAAGAAGAGACACACATGGGCACACATACAAGTTTGACTCCGTCTTCATTCAGTCATCATAGTGATACATGTTATCTTCTTCAATAACACCAAGCCAAGTTTGTTAATGCAGGGCTATAAAAACACACTGCACAAAATATGTTGAACACTAATCACTTAAAAGCAAAAACCGTGAGCAGCATAAGTTCAACAGCCTTTTAAAATTTGGCAGTCCTTACCCGGACGGCTAGCCCTGGACCGCACGGCAGCTCTGCAAAGGAGGTCCAAATCACTGGTCTTGCGACAGGCTGAAAGCTCTGAGTCAGCACGATGAGAGGGGACCTCCTCCACGCTGAAGGCCCCTGATGGGCCAGGCCTGGGCTCTGCAGGCGCTCGAGCTTCCAGCACTTGGTTCTTGGCAGACATCTTACTGCGGACTTCTGCCATCTGAGCCTTGAGGCGAACAAGGACCCCAGAGTCTGGCGTAGATCGCCGAACCACCTGAGGCCGTCGCTCCCGTTCTTTTCTGGAGTGAGAATGAGCTGGAAAACACAGGAGGATCAGGAGTGGTTTGCATGTTTTGCTAATTGACATATGAATAAACAAAGTGCAACTGATATTTGCATCAAATAACATTCTGACCAAGAGGGAGACCCTCTTTTTTACGGTTTTGCTCGCTGTCCGCTTACATTCTACATAATGTTCCTCGATTCCTTAGCAAACATTTGTATCCACACCAGAACTAAAGAGGAACGTCATAGCGGATACAACTTTATAATTAATAAGTAAATATCTAATACAGAGAGAGTTTATTATGGTCTGCAAGCAAAAAGTAGAGAAAAAAAAATCATATGTTGAACTGAAGATATTCAGCTTCACCAGTGTGTTTTTGGACTTCTCATGCTTCTCTCTGTACAACCACTGCAGTTCCACCACAAGATTTCTTGCAGTAAATCTGTTGTGCCCTTGAATCCTCTGCACATTTTCAAGCATTGATGTTTAGTTCAGTGATAATCACGCGCTATTAGCTGATGTGTTTACAGACCTTGTGTGTGCAGCAGAGATAATGGAGGCCGAGGCTGAAGGCCCCACAAAGACTCCACGCTGCTGCGCTCCTTTAAGTCCAGAAGTTGGATCAGGATGACGGGATCCAGCTCGAGAAGACTGTTGCTCCCTGCGGCACACGCCCCAGCTCCGCTATTACTGCTGCTACGAGCAGAAGCAGCAACACATCGATGTAAAGAAGGTGCACTGGAGCCGCCTCCTCCTGCAGAAGATGCAAGAAGACAAAGGTTTATATGGTTTTCACTGATTCCAACAAAACTTTTTCCAACTTTTTCTCAACGTGGTGTGGAAAAGAAGGACGTTTAATGAAAAATTAGGGCTTTTTATTTTGATGTGTGGTGTGGAAAAGAAGGACGTTTAATTTAAAAAAAGAGTGCATTAAATGTGAGACATGTAGCTATTAAAACTAACTGAAAGTAGCTGAAAAATTAGGGCTTTTTATTTTGATGTTCTGTCTGTACATTTTTTGGCCAAAAATAAAATCAGAAGGGTTGTATGACGGGTTGTATTTCACTCCATTGTCTCATCCTGTTCATGCCTTTTAGCACAGACAGAGTGAAACACTTAAACAGTCACGATGTTCTTGTTTGCAACAGCAGAAGGACACATCTGTTCAACTAACCATAGTAATTAGCCAGGGTGATGTCATTATTTCTGGCAGGACTTCTAATGTCTGGAGTGTTTTTTTTATTATTATTATTATTATTATGGTTGTGTTTCTTTAGGTGTTTGACTGAATGACTAGATAAATAGGAGATGTCCCAGTAATGGAATGGAAACCAAATAAGAGCCTTAAGTGCATGTGCTGGTAGAGTGCACCTATCTGCACTCACTTGACTGTTGTTAAACACCAGTTCTGCCCTAATGTGTCATTTTCTGGGCCAAAATGTGGACACATGATTGTATAAGGCCAGATGGCGGAACAAAAAGTGGCTTTTTTGCTGATACTCCAAAACAAAGGAGAATGAGAACATGCAGCATTCAGTTTATAGTATATAACATACAGTAAGTCACACTGTGGCCTTTTATTTCTGCCACTCATCGTTTATGTCTGTCATACTGATCCTTCAGGGTAAAAAGGGGTTGGGGCTTTAATGTGTGACACAAAGCTGGAATTTTAATTACATTTTATATTTTCAAAGTTAAATGTTAAAGTTAGATGTTTAAAGTATATAAAAAAAATATCAATGTGTACCAAACATGCCTGTGGCTCCTGCCAAGTCATCAAAAAGTTCTCCTTCCTCTGTTTCCAGGTTCCCAATAAAGTCCACGTCGTTTTCTCCCGACCTAAACAAATACGTCCAAAAGTATTTTACATACGCGGGTAAAAAAAGCAGGAAAAAAATTAAGAAATAAATAAAAATATCTTACATAGTCTCCTCATCAATGTCATTCTCTTCTGTGTTGCTGGTGGCTGTGGAGCTTCCTGATGTGCTGCTGCCATCCAGAGGGTTCACCTCCTCCTCTGTGAGACAGTCCACTTCCAGGTCACCATCTGACAATTCCTGAACAACAGCATAATTAGAAAATTATCTAACCAAGCTCTTAGTGTAAATTATTATTATTTTCACAAACTAGTCATGATTCTGATGAAGGCATTTATCCTTTTAATAGAATCTGGGAAGAATGTTTCCCAGACAGAACACCAAATAGTGACAGTGATTTGCTTCCAGAGCATATTTCTTACATTCGAGTCATCCTGTTGTGTCCTCTCCTCTTCCTCTGCTTTTTTAGTGTTGATCAGCGTTGTGTGGATGTCATCGTCACTCTTCACTGAGCGAGGGTCTCTTTCAGAGGCAGTGGTGCTTGTAGCCAGCCTCAGGTCAGGAGGAGAGGAGCTGCGGGAGGTTTGACGGCGAAACAGTTCAATGGCCAGTCGCTGTAATCAGATACACGTGTCAGTCAAGGTGAACGTTAGCTCTGTGAGGCAGGGTGTTTAACTCAGGTTGTACTTGATGAAGTAGCACTGAAATCCTCATAGTGACCCCTGACTCCTTTTTTATTTGGACTCTGACTATATGTCAATAGTGTAAAAAAAACTATTTCATACACACATGGACACACGCACATACACAGAGAGCACACAATAATCCGTGCTTACTTCTTTAAGGTTGTTAATCTGCTGAATGTAGCCACTCTGTGCCGACTCCAACTGGCTGATGTACCAGTACTGATCTCTGCACTTCTGGAAGAAGGTGGGTGAGCGAACCTGATAGCTGGGCAGCACACATATTAACATAAATTACCTTTTTTTCAACCTTCTGCTAAAGGAAAATATTGCATATCTGTGTGTATCTCTGCTGACCACAGAACCAGCGTGTCCGTCTGAGTGTTCAGGTAACCCTCGCTTGCTAAAAGATCCAGTCTGAAGAAGCGGTTGTAGCCCCAGCATTCACCAACCTCAAAGTCTGAGGCAAATTCCCGAATGATGTTCTTAGTTGGGTCGTTGGAGGCTTGATGAACCATCTCCACTCGGTACTCGTACCTGCACAGATTAAGTACAGATTTAGCTGAGAAAAATACAAGAGATGTAAGGGCTACCAAACATTTTTGTCTATTTTTTTTAATTATTTAAATTGACTGAATAATACAGCTAACATGGAAACACGTGGCAGGGGAATCAAAGGTAAATGAATGAAAAAAGAGACATTAGGTTATAAATATGTACTTTGACGTTTCAGGAAGTCCGGCAGACAGCTCCAAGAACACAGACAGGTAGTTTCCACGAACCACACCGTTACCATCCTGAGAACAAACATACAGTGTCAGTGAATGAGTGTTGAGAAAGAATCATACTGAGACTATTTGTAAGATGGATATATACAGTATATATTAAATAGATATAAGTGGAGCAGAGTGTGTATAGGTTTCCATCTAGGAGCAGGCCTCTGCACTACTTCAGTCATTTAGTAACACACAAAAGAAAGTATTTTTAACTGAGGCATCGATTTTAAATAAAATAGAAAGAAAGAAGAAGAAACTTTTTCAGACTCACTGGATAAACTTTGAGTCTCCAGCACAGGCCAGATATCTGTAGTGGTGGGCTATACACTGGGTCAGCCCTCTGCCTCAGAGTACTACAAAATAAACAAAAACACACAGTTTGACTAATCAGGTAAGCACACATTGAAAGTATGCATAACTGAATACCAAGCCCCCCATTCAATCTTTTATAATTACCAAGGACACAGAGCTTTGATAAGATAATGCATTTATGTTGTTTTTTTCCAATACTCTACAGCCGTCTGGCTAAAACCACCTCAAGCCTCATTCCCACTCGGCTGAAAAACTGTTTTAAGCAGATCGTAAACATGTTTATGACCAGAGGGAAAGTGTTTAATTAACATTGACTCTCAGGTCAAAAACAACTCAAATACGTCAGTGTTTTATAAAAGCCGCAGCTCCAATTGGCCTCAGAGGAAAAACAGTCCATGGTGAACAAACCACAGGAAGAGAAGTAGGAACACTCACCTGAAGTTGACAAGAACAAATGTGCTGGAGTCATAGGCAGGGACCAGCTCACTGTAGGGAGAGAAAGGAACAAAATGCCAAACAATCATGACCAATAAAGAAAATCTAAAAGACACATTTAGTGAAACTACTTTTGTGTACAACACAAGTTATGAAGGTTAAAAACTCCTTAAGAAGGATGTCAGCTGTTAAACCACGGGCGTCCAGCTACCTGGTGAAGTCTGGAGGGACTGGTGTGGTGACGAAGGACTGCATGGGTTTTCTATGGACCTGCTGAAACATGAGCAGAATCTCTGGACTCTTGGAGATGAGTTCACTTTTGCTGCAGGAGTGAAGCTGTTCCACACAAAAAGAAGAGAAAATAACAGTCAAGTGGTGGCCATCAGCGTATAAACACAATGGAAAATGACTTAGTGAGAAGATTATTTATTTTTTGTAGTGAAATCAGTCTTAAATGTTTTTTCTCCAAAAACAACAACAACAACAACAACAACAACAACAGACAGGACAGGACTTATCTGAGTGTAGCCAAATGAATAAAGGCTTTGAGCTTCTGCAGAACACCAACCTGATGCTCCACCTCCTGCAGCAGTGACTCCAGCAGCTCTGTCTCCTGGGTCAAGGACGTCTTCTGGCCTGGTGGGGAAGGAACACATTTCTATTTTCAGCAAATGTGTGCTGAATGTGGGGCACTCAGATTGAGGCTGGCCAGTTATGAGTGGGTGTGTGGTAGTGCAGGGGGGTGTATGGGCGCAATCAGTGCATGCATACACTCATTGCAGATAAATATTTTAGATGTACATTATCTCCAGATATGAAAAGGTGCCTCACTGCTTTTAGCATGGAGTCAGGATTCTGTGTCTGGTTAAGACTTCAAACTTCAGACAGACTTTTAGAAGTAGTGGCGTCTTGTACAGACCGGAGACACTTTCCGGCAGAAGGTTTAAAACACTGACATACATGTTGTGAATACACACATGTTGTGAATACACACTTCTGTTGATCATTTACAAACAGGACTTTTCTTTTTAACAAGAGTAAATCATTTTTACAAGTTGTGATTTCAGTTTTAGACTGACTCAACTTTTTTGAATTATTACCTGGCAGTTTTGAAACACCATGTGAACTAATGAGAGTCTGCCCTCGCTGTGGAGATTTTAAAAAAGTAGGACTTGCATTTTTATTTCACAACACAATTGGAGGTAGGAAAAGTAAAACGTTTTTAAAAAAAATGACCTTAAAAAAAGAAATTATATTGTCACAATTGCATCTGTAAAAGTGGTGGATAACCAGGAAGTCTACCATTGGCTTCTAATCGTCATCTAATGTCTAATCGTCATATAAAAGCAGTAGTTAAAGTATGTGAACACAAAAGCCAGCATAAAATAATCTTTAAAAAAATAAAAGATCATCCTCATCCCAAACCATCTGCTTCTGCCTTGTAACCCCGACAAAGACACACAGGGACAGTGTTGAGTCCTGAAATCCTACCCATGAGAGTGATGAGTTTGTTCTTGAGCTGATTGTCCAGACGTGCGATCATCATTTCCACAGCATTTCGTATCTCTCGGACTCTCTCGTCCTTGGCTCCTCTGACAGCCTCAACGTTCCTCTCCTGTAATGATGTCAGGTTACTGCCATCTGGTGGATATTTTCTGAACAATATACAGTATAGTACTAGTACCAATATTAAATTCCTTAATAAAATTGAACTTAAAAGTTTGAATCTAGAAAAGGATAAATAGTATCAAAAATAAGTAAATGTCAGGTCATCAGTTTTAGTTTAATGTAGTCTTCATGTCTTCAAGCAACAACAAACAGTTCTCACCACTTCCTGCACCAGACTGATGAGCTCCATGAGGCGACGGCGTAGTTTAGCAACCTCCTCCTTTACCTTGCTCACATGTTGCTCATAGATCTCCACAAGAGGTTTAAAGGTATGGCCGCCATGCTGTAAACAATACAGTTACTTGAAGACTAAATTACAACACTGTTTTTCAACAAACTTGAAACAAACAGACTTTTACCTAATATATATATAATGTATAATCATAATTATTATTAATTAATTATTTAATCTTTAATCATTCACATTTTAATTAATTAATCTGCAGAAATACTTCAACATTGGTTAGCAAGTTGAAATGAATCGAAGAGACTTTTGTATCCTTGCTATGGTAACCATATATTAAAAAGCAAAGAGTTCAGTTACCATTCCTCCCCACAGAGCACACTGATGGCAGATGCATTTCTTACACGTCCAACAGAAAACACTCAGCTTCTCGTGATGGTTCTCACATCTACCAGAACCAAACAAAGAAAAAATTTAATTTCTTTTTTTAATTTTCCTTTTTAGAGCCATTTTAAAAAGAACTTCTCTTGCTGCTTATATAACATAAGAGCCCCTAAATCACAGACATCCCTGTGGTTTAGCTGAAAATGTTAAACAAAATAGTTGATCATTTTAAATTCACAAGAATGTAGGATGAGACCTAGAAACAGAAGCTACTCACTTGTCTTTGTCATTGTCTTCGTGCTTTGTGAGGCTGCACAGCTGTAGAGTGTCCAGCTGTTGGGTGACCTCCTCTGCCCAACGACAGTTTACCAGCTCCCTCAGCTGGAGAGGAGCACTGTGTGTACACAAACACAATGTTTATTCTTACATTTTAATTTCTTGTTTGTTTGTTTTTTTATTTGTTAACGTGTTAATATTAAATGATGATAAAAAATGTATTTGGGGTTGAAAATTAAAACAATATTATAATATGTGTTTAAGTAACTGTGTTTATACTTAATCTATAATTGGACATGTCTTAACAGTTGAAAAAACAAATGTCTCATGTATTATGCGTTAAGGGTGGCGGGTTGGTCTCACCGACAGTGTGGACACTGGGCTCTCTGCTCTGTTAACCATCGCTATCAAAAACAAAATCAAGAAAAATTATATAATATCTTAAAGTAATAAAATATAATTCAGGCATAATTGACAGGTAAAAACAGCAGAAGACATTATTATTCTACATCAAATTCAGAAAATGTGATCAACTGAGTTTGTGACCCATCAGTTTTGTCTCCATAAACATCAGTTATTTCTAATACCAGAAAGCAATTTTTGTTCTACATAAAACATCTCCAGCCCTTAGTCTAATGTGAGCAGTCTTACTCGTATGCAGCTGAAGCAACACAGTTTGGAGCAGTGTGGGCAGAGGCGAGCATCCCTCAGTTTCTCCATGCATATGAAGCAGCGAAACACCTCTGCAATGCTCTGCACAAGGATAAGAGATGGAAATATTACTGTTGGAAAACAGACAGTAGAAGCCTTGTATGCTGGTTTTGTTTAAAGCACTTGTCATAATGACAAGAATGTCAGGATAAAATTTTGCTGTAAACATTTAGGCTATTATTGTACAAACTAAATTTCGTATCACCTCTGGTGCATATGACAATAAAGATTCCTTCCTTCCTTCATGGCTTGATGCATACAATACATACCTCCACACTTTGTTCATCCATTTCAGCCAGTTTGAGGTTGCTGGTGTCAAGAACAAATTAAAGACTTTGTAGACAAGTCTAAAAAGAGAAACAATGTTTGTGTCATTTATGCTATAAACTATATAGGGTACAACGATTTGTTCTTACATTTGAATGTTGTACGAAAAATAATGCTTTACTGGGTTTGTGCTATGCACAGCAACTTAGCTAAATGGAGCCAGCTAACATGCTAGCTTTACTTTACTAACATTTACTGTATTAAATAATAAAATAAAAAACATGCTGTTAAAATACATCAATTCCATTAAAGAATTCTAAGTAGAAAGACACAAAGTATTTAGCCACAATTTTTTTATAGAGAGAAACCTGGAAGAAAACAGGAAGAAAAAAATGACAAAGTCAATCAGTAATAATAAACAAGAAAACAATATTGTTTGAAGATTATATACTGAAAACGTTTTTAAAGTACAAACAAACAACTACATTTTTAAAATTATCATTAAACAACACAGTCCATCCGAATCGGACTTGTCTAAACTACAGTAACTAAAAGTAACACAAATGACAAATGAGAAAGGTGTTGATTAAAAATCAATGAACCAATGCGGGCACGGTTATAAAGAGAAATAGCTGATAGCTAAAACAACAACAAAAAAAGAACATTTCAACAGCCTACTTGGAGAGGCAAATTACGGTTATAAAAAAACACATTTTAGTGGTCAGAAACGCTGTTAGCATGTTGACTGTGTGAGAATTAACACTAGAGGCCTAGAACAATGTACATACACTGACAGCTAACCTGATGAAGGTAGTAGTTGTCAGGCGGTTACCTGTTCAAAAATATGGGGATGAACATTTTTTAAATTCAACATATAGAGTATGTCGCGACAGGTTCGTATTCAATATTTGCTCACTGTTTCACTAACCTTGCAGCTTCAGCTTGTTCTGTCACACCTGATAAACGACAGGGACAATGCGGTTACGTTACATGCCATTAATCATAACCGACAGTAAAACCGTCTCCGTTGTTGTAGCTACATTCGAAACCTCTGTTCAGCTCTGCGACGGTTGGACGAAGCTTCAAAGCGAAGAAAGATGTTAGCCTTATCGCCTTGGGCAGAAAGATGTGTACAGAAAGCAGCAGAGTCTGTCCTCAGAAAATATCCAATCAAACGGCTCCGTTCCTACCGCTTGTTTGTCGTGTTCTTTCGCATTTGCCAAAGACACGTGGGTGAAATATCGCCCTCGCCTGGACTGGAGGGACAGACTGATGTTTATCAAAGGCTGGCGGCAGTGCTGTCTCTAATAGTTCCGAAGCCCGTGTATTTTGTTGCATATTATAAAATAATGTCATAGCATTATGGAGATAGGTTAAAAAGTTTTATTACAATTAAAAATGTATTTATTTTAAAGTAAAAAAACTAGAAAAGATAAATAGAATTAAATATATTTTTTGTTGTTGTAATTATTATTATTATTATTGTTGTTGTAATTATTATTATTATTATTGTTGTTGTAATTATTATTATTATTATTGTTGTTGTAATTATTATTATTATTATTGTTGTTGTAATTATTATTCATGTATTAAGGTTGCACTTTGTCTGAGACTTTACCGTTTATACATTTGCGTGCAGTTCTAGTTTGTAATAAAAGCTGGGAGTGTATATTTAGTTGTTGATGAAGTAGCAGTTGATGCGGTTGCTATGAGGCAACTGCTTCAGGCAGTTTTTAACTTTTGTTTACCAGCTTATGAGCATCTCTGGTTGTTGTTTGTTTAGCAATGTGAATGTTAGTGAAATGGCTCAAAGATCAAGGATGGAACTAAGCTGTGTGCACATTTTGTGTGCAGATCAATTTTACTATGAACAAATTAAAAAGCATGTCTGAGGAAGAATACAAATAATAATTTCCTGTAAAATTGTAAGTAATGGGAAAAAAGATTAAAGTAGCAATAGTAATAGTACACCAATATTATACCAAATATGTGCAGTAATCACAAACTGCTGCATAGAGTTTTGCGTGTACAATTAAAATAGGTGTACAGTTTTAAACATGCACAAATGTACCAGAGTACTGATTTACTCTGAACAGTACTGCTATTGTTCAACACTCACAGGTTATATGTTAAAATCGTAGGATTTGGCTAATCTAGTAATGAACTTTATGTTGTAAAGGGTAATATCTCGCATCTACAGTCTTTCCTCTGTGGTCGTCTGTAACCGGACCAAAGCTAAAAACTAAGACAGTACATACAAGTCAAAAAGTTCACAAACAGACGTTATAATTTCCAAATGTTACTTTTTATTTAATCGGGTTTATCGAGTTAAAAACTTCTTAGAATCATTCCAATTTACCAACAGGTTTTGAGATGGTGCCAACCTTTTTTTTTACCAAAACTGAAACTGTTTTATTTCCATAAATAAAGTCCTCTGTGACTTATCCTAATATTCTTTCCTCTTTTGAACCTGTTCAAGTACATGTTTGTTTGTTTGTTGTAACACACAACAGAAATAATCCTTGTTTATTTTTCCTTGGATGGAGTTTACTTTAAATACCGTTGTAATGTCTGAGTGGAGAACACAAACTTCTCACTGTACATGAACATTTAGAGAACTGAACTTCATCATGAGTGATCAACACAGAGCAGACCTCACCTTGACATTGTGTGTAAAAGTCAGTTCACAATGGAAAAAAAGGGAAAATTTCATCATTGAGTGATCATCTTATGTCAGATTCTTATGTCAGAAAACAATATACCCTTCGCTCTGCTCACACACAGTGATCTTGCGAGAATAATACTGACATGTTATTTCAAACGCTCTAAGCAGAATCCCATTCAGCCCTTCAGCACAAACGCACAAACACGAGGTAAATTGCCACATACCCCCATTGTTGTTTTATGCAAACGTACTGAAGCTGGATAGGAGACACAGAGGCATATGCAAATTAGCCTTTCAGGCAGTAGCGGCTGATCTGCAGAGGTGAACATTTCTCCACTTAGTAAAATGCAGATAAGCAGCTAAAAGTTTCTGAAAGTTTTGAGACTAACACAACTTTTTTTTTAAATAACCAAGGAGTCACAGACGTGAGCTGGACACAAACTGTATTTAGACGAAGGTAAGTGACAAATGATTCTAAAACACAAACTGCATTTTTACCCGAATTTGTGAATTTTTTATTATGTCACTTCCATGTGACATTTCCCACAGTGCTGCCTGTTGTAGTTCTTTATGGTGATGTCTTCCTTGCTAATGAATATTATAGGCATGGAGTGTGTGCAGTCTGTGGTAATGTGAAGGGGAGGGCGCATTAGAATACACTCAAGATCATTTTCCTGGGTCACCTGAGTGCTGCATTGTGCTGGTAAAGTTACTATCCAGTAGGAAAATCAGCTATATTTATCATTACAGATATTAAGATGAGTGCAGACTCGGTGGAACAGTCCAAGGTTCCGGGTGAACAGGCAGGTAAGGATATTTCTCCTTTGTGTTTATTCTGTCACACTTTGTGATGTATAAGTAGGATCCGCTGAGGTTGTGCAAAATAGTTTTATTAGCTTCTATTGAACAGAATGAAAAGTAACTAAATGGACATAAAACATTTTTTTACAGTGGTCTAAGGGAAAAGAAGGAAATTTGTAAACAGTATGAAAATGTCACAGATCAAATTTGATGAAATACATTGAAGAAAATAACCTTTTTCCGGACAGGAAAGTTAGTAAATTAGAATGCCATTAAAAAGTTGTATCAAATGCGGTTGAATTTAAACATGACAATTTACACAAAACAGACATTTGCAGAAAGGTAATAACTGTTGTTGTTTGTGAGGATTATATTCTGGGACAGATGGTAAATTTATATATATCTTGTGGCTTCATTTGAACACAGTGATTGACCTAAATGCATTTTATGTAGGAGAAGTTGATGCAAAATGAAAAACATAGGTGGAATTAATTCTAATTAATTAAATCATATTTTAATGTATTTGTATTTAAGGATTATTTTATTATGAGGTAGAGTTCACAGTTCTTCAATACTCACTGGCTGGATTATCACTGAGTTTTATACGGTTTGAGCTGCAGCATAAAATAACAAGAAAATATCATTATCAATATCAATATTATCAATATTATCAATATTATGGAGTTATAATATCAATATTACTTCTTATAACTGACCATGAAGGAGAAAAAATGGCTGACAAAGGCAGCATTTGGAATTCCTTCAGTTTCATTAGGACATGGGTTTGAGTGCATGCATGTGTGTGTGTGTGTGGAGTTTGTGGCAGTTAGTTACTAGACCAGGATACACCTGAGGCTGTTTGCTGAGAAGTACTCACTGCCCGGGGCTGAGGACCCGACAGCCAGCCACAGAATAAAAGAAGGAACAAGCAACAGAAAAAGTGGAACTTTTCAATAGACAATGGTGGAGTGAGAGAAGCAAAGGGTTTGGTCTCATGACAGTGATGAATGTCAGTGTTTTGTTATTGAATGATCACAGTACACAACACTGTCGGCACACGTTCTCCTTTTACTCTATATTCTTATCTGTTAACGTCTCCCTGTCTTCATATGATTTAAATTCAACTGTTTTCAATGTTTTCTTTTCTTGGTGAGATCCAAAATAGAGAGTTTTCCAGAGTCTTCCTTTTGATTTCATTTGTCTTGTATCTTTACCTTAACCTTCATCCCATCCAGTGGACGTGACTGGAACATTTGGATAACATTAACATTTGTGAAGAAAAAATGATGTCAATTTCTAGTTTAGTGCCTAGGCTTCATCTTTACATGTTTTTAGCATTAAAACGTTGCAAATAAATTATAAATAAATAAATTACTAAATAAAAGTTGGACACTGTGCAGGATTTGAACTGTCATGTCTCAGTTCAAGTGAATGTTTATACAAATTCTGCTTTTTTATTTATTGACACAAGCATTTGGGATTTACCAGCTGACATATGTAAAGAGTGGTTAAGTCCAGATAATGAAAATAATTTAGTTTAGTTTGAGGATTAGTTAAAACTAACACCCAGTCCGGGCATTCAAGGACCAGAAAGTACAGTTTTCCTTTTTGGCAACTGAAAAACATAACATTGGAATTTTTTTAGATCCTGAAAAAGTATTTGAACAAAATGTCAATCTTTCCCAAACTATGACACTGTGCAGTACATGCTTTCATGCAACCAAAAAAACTCTTCCCAGCTGCCAGCACTGCAGGGCAATGAACATGTGTCAATATTATGCTCCTACTTTCTGTGTTGTTACACTACTTTAATGTTTAAAGCCATTGCAGTTTCTCTTAAAATATTATTTTATATATATATATATAATCATATATTTTTACTTGACCTTTAATACTGCTTTAAAAATATTATTTTTAGCAATTACGTTGATGTTTCAAATTACAAAGGCATTAGAATATGTGCTCCCCTGTAGCTAGTGTTGGCCTGTGATGCAATCGGATGTAATCTGCTACCTTAGCAATTTTATTACACACCAATTATTACTGACACATATTCCCATTTTTTAAACTGAGAAAAACTCAAGTTAATTCAATTATGAACAAAACATAATGTATCCATAAATACCATATCCACGTATCGTACTTTTTTCTTTATACTACATACAGAGGAAATATTTTTGTTATTTCTAAGTCAGGTTTAATAACGTATCGAACTGAAGTGCGTATGTGTGTATTTGTGTGTGTGAGAGAGAATGAGAGAGAGATATTGACCATTGAAAAATAAATTGTCTCACACAGTTATTATAATAATTATCTTGTTCTACTTAGCACTGCTAGAATATAATTAGAAGCAACATAAAACAGTAGTTTCAGAAAAAACATATTACCAGACTAAAGGAAACCAAGATATCTGACTTAATAACAATATATGAAGAGTCAAGAGAGGCAGAGAATTGTGTGAGTGTGGTGCTTCATGTATAAAAACATTGACCCTATGTCAAGGTGAGCAGTCGGAGTAGAAGGGATCGATCACACCACAGGTTCTTAGGACCGTGATGGTCCCAGGTGAGACTGGTATTTGTATGTGATGACAGTGAGGTGGGAGAGAACCTGTAGGTGGAGACACTAAGGAGAAAAAGCAACAGAGGTAAACAGATGCAGGACAAGATACGTGAGGGCAGCAGGAAAAGTGAAGCTTTAAGGTGCTGAAAAGGGATGATTTCAGGTGCGTTTGAGCAAAGAAGATGAGGAAAGCTAGTAGTGAGACCTGCTATGATGCACAGTTTAGAGACGGTTGCTATGTCTCTGTCTAAGACTGTGCAGATTAGCTCTCTAGATGATACACTGAAATAGTTACATTAATATTTTATCGGCAGAAACAGACTTACGCCTGCTTCTGTGGGTGACGCATACTTCAGATGACATCACATTCTTTTCAATAATTTGAAATAAGACAGATTTTGTCTATGGTAGCCATGATGTTGGATCACTATTGTTTTATTTTAGTCTCAAAAGACCGACTTGTGTTTCAATACCATTAAAGTGGACATTTTTTCTCTTGTTCCCCTACATACAGTACCTGCATATTACTCTCTCAGATGGAACACTGTTACTTTAATGGGTGAGAAAAAAATGACCATAACACCATATAATGTGACTTATTTTCAACAATTTGCCTTCACCAGGATCTAATAGACATGAGGGTGATATACAGGGAAGACATGTCAGACACAGAGATGGATATTCATGGAGCGGTGAGCACGTTATTTACTGCAGTTTACTTTATAACAAAAAATTACCATATAAACGGTACTTACTAAGAAGTTTGATGTTTAGGTAAGGACATAAAATGGTTTATGGGCTCAGACTGATTTCCGGGGTCTGTTTGAACAGACAGAACTCAAACACACTCTCCCTGCACTCAGCTGATTTGCATGTCTTGGTCATTTCCATACTGGGCGTTTGGCTCTGAAACTGGTATTTGCTGGAGGTAGACGGGATGGAGACACGGAGCAGGGGGTGAAGGTGGTAGTGGTGCTAAGGTGAAAGGGGTGGAGTCCACTGTGTGTGTGTGTGCGTGTGTGTGTGTGTGCGAGAAGGTGTGTCAGGGTGGGGGACATTTGCATCATGACTTCAGAAGCTCACTTCGACTGCAGCTCTCTTCTCTTCCTTCTTTTTTTCTGTCCAACACACACACACACACACACACACACACACACACACAGCAGACCTATTTGACATTCAAATGATGGAGGCTTTATCCAGCTGAACTCTCTGTACACACAAACACAACATGTTGCTGAAAACGTTGTTATTAATGTGACACTTTCAACAGCTCTCATAAATAAATTAATCAAAAATGTGCTTATTATTATTATTATTATTATTATTATTATTATAAGACTTGTTATTGGAGCACTGACTGACCATGTCTAAAAATCTCTAATGAAATAAAATACTGTTCAAATTATGATATATTTTAATTGTTACTTCTTTCTTTTCTCACATTTAGAGCAGCCAGACCTTGACTTTAACCGACAGGTGAGTACCAGAGTTGGCAGCCGCCAACTGCACTTTCTGTTTTTTTAAATCCCTAAGAATGAGGGTTTACTGAATGGGGTCTTTCCAACAGCAGGGGTTGGGTTTCTTTTGTTTGACATGTCCTCACCTGCCTAGATACAGGTATGGGAGCTCTCTCAGCAGCTGAAAATAACAAAAGCCAGTCATTCAGGATATTTTTTTTAGTTCAAATGCCTTTAGTTTATTACTAATGTAGTTGTAGTAGACAGAACTGTAGATTTTAACAAATGCTACACAAACAAAATAGTGCTGCATTTGTTAAGTGGCTCCTTATGCACTCATTTCAACTGTTTTCTTTTTTATGACAAAAATGTTCTGTGCTTTATTTAGTCAAACTGTATTTAAAGTACTTTTGTACATGTGTTTAGCAATGATTTTTCAGTTGCATTATCATAAATGATTAGAGAATTATCTTGGTAAAACATGGGCTGAATATCATAATGAAGAAAAATAATTTGATTTTTGGTGTTGATGTTGAGGTGTGCAAATTTACATTTTCAAGTACTCAAGTAAATTTATAAATAAATGTCAAACGCATATTAAATACAATATACACATACACATGCAGAATATCATTATGTTTCAAATAAATTACCACTGAAAATAATTAAGTAGATGTCACCTTGTTGTGTAGTCTCACCAGCCTGAGACTATACAACAACAGAGTCTTCAAAACACTTCAAGGCCTGTGGCTGAATGAGTCACAGGCCTTAAAAGCAAATTTAAAAGCAAGTTTAATAAATAATAATAATAACAACAGAGGTCCTGAGCTAGCACTAAGCTAATGCCAACATCAAACTCAATGGTGGCAGGTAAGGAAAACAGAGGAAAAACCCACAGGTAACATGGTTACCTACATATGAGTTGAAGACATTTGTTTGATACAAACTACACTGAGTTGTTTTTTTGTGCACAAATAATGTCAGAATTCAGACCTAAATGTCTGAACTCAAAACAATCAAAAGGTCTGGCTCTAAAACAAAACTAATCAGCCTACAGGAAACTAAGAATCTATGGGACGACTCATGACAGAGCAAAATATACCCAGCTTGACATCACCCAGTAGGGCAGATTATAAAAACTAGTATAAAAGGCAGGGACAGTTTGATATGCTATAGGAGGTGTTGCTGTAGAGTAGAAATGTAAAGTCAGTGATAAGAGTAGAGGTGATTCAAGTTCAAATTATCAAGAGTCTGTATTCGTTGGCAAACCTAATAAAGAAACTAAGTTGAAACATAAACAGCCCAGAGCCAAGTGAATGGTACAAATGTACCTTCATCAGAGATATAACGCTCAACCGCCTTTCAGACTAACATCCTCAGGATAAACTACTGGCTCTCCTCGCAGGAGTCAACATTAAATGCCACCACTTTAGAAACACCTCAAATAGTTTGCAGCTATTTGGATTCTTCTCCAAACATTCTTTTTGGCAACTGAGTGCGTTTGTTTCAGCGCTCCTGTTCACAGGAAGTGTCATGGCCTTTTTTTTTCAGAATAAAAATGGGAGGGGGGGGCATATTTGCATGATAACTTTCCTCAGGGTATGGAAAGTGTCACCATCAGGCAGACGTTGTATGGCGTCTAGTGAAGTCAAACTGGGCCCTCGCTTGCACAAATGCACACACACACATACCGGCTACACGAGTCTTCATGAGTGCGTGCATGCATGTCAGTGCAAGAGTCATTCTCACGAACCCGTTTACTGCAGTTTCACATCACGTTTATACAGAAAGATTAGCACGGAAAAGCATTACAATAATGTAGTGTTTGATTTATTTATGAGCTCATCAGAACCTGAGCCCCTGAACAAGACTTAACAGTGGTTTCTTGTTTTGTTTTGTTTTTTTTTTTGGGTGGGGGTGTCACAGAATAAGACAGAGAACATCAACGATTCCCCTCATTTAGCCTCACCTCTGAAGACATGCCACATGACACAGGGCTCTCCTATCCCTGGAGGTCAGATGCCGGGGGTAAGATGATGTTTGCACCTGAGCATTAGCACAGTATAGGTACACAGGTACTGTGACCTGCTGCCACAGCTGCGACACTTTGAGAGTAACACCAACATACAGTAGTATTTTGTTATATGTAGAAGTAGTAGTGCAGATAATTACCGTGTATTTTTATTGCATTACATTCATAGTCAAATGCAATGAATGTTGTATTTAACTTTGAGCTATTCTGGCAAATGCACTGTAATAAAAGTGATACTAAAGGAAGTTATTATTGTAGGTAAATATGTGGAATAACCTTAATTTTATAATAATAATAGGTTTTTTTAATTGAAAAAATCAGAGGGCTTTTTAAATAATAATTTAATTTAATGTATTATAATATATTTAAGTTATGGGTCATGGCGCTAACTTTACGGGATTAATGGATTTCTGAAAAATATCATTCTAAAAATCAAATAATTATCTAAATAACATTTTATATGGATGAGAGTAACAGCTACTTTAATATCATATCTATATACATATCCATCCTGTGAATCTTTTCATATTGTCTAGCTCAAACTAAACTCAATTATTCTTAAGATATGTACTTCAGTTCATTTAGTTTTGTGTAAATGACTTTTGAACTAAGTAAATGACAATTAGAACTCAAGGTAGACCTAATCTTAACTCTTTTTGGTGACATGAACTCAGACTTGGATTAAACAACCCACAACAGTTAAGTCTTCATTTCTCAGCTGCTATTCTTCATCTTTTTCAGGAGCTCACTTCACTTCACACCATGCAGCAGCTGGTTCTGATGCCGCCCTCTCACCTTCCATCTCCTTCTTCTTTTCTGCTCTCCCAGAGTCCCACCAGTCACCAAGGTGAGGCCTTAAAAACAACTTGCCTATGAAACAGTTTTTACTGCACCTTCTGCCCACCCCTGCAGCTGTAAACGGGCTCATAAATTAGAGAGAATTTGGGACCAAAAACCATTAAAACATCTCACTTAATCCTTTTTATTGCCTGGAGTGGCGTGGTTATTTCTTCCAAAATTCATTTTAAGTTTTAAGATACATACTTGTTGTCAAAGTAGCCAAACATCAATCAAACTGTAGGTGGAAACATACTAAAATATTAAGTGCTAAAAGACTTGAAGTGACAAAAAGGCTTTTCACGGTTCCCAATAGCGTAAAAACAACTAACTTTGAGATAAAAAAGTTAACGTAGAGTAACTTTTACCTGATTTTTGTATGATTTTAAAAACATTCCGAAATGTTTAATACTTCAATACTTCAAGTGATGTAACAATTTCCTCCATCCAACCATTTTTACCCCTTCAGGGAAATGTCAATACAAAAGATTCCTGTTTTAAAAAGGCAAATACATTTATAGATGCTTTTATTATTTTTATAGCTGTTCTCCAGCAGAACCTGCTCTCCCTCCCTAGTCACAGTCAAGCTAGTCTTCTTCAACATCAGCCTGGACTGGCTCTGACCCCACAGGTAAATCCAAACCTCCAATCCACATATTTTGGTATATAGTAGAAGGAAAATAATCTCATCATCATTATCATCCTCATCATCTTCTGTATTTCCTTCTCTGTAAAATTTGTCTGATCCAGGCTATGGGTCGCTCTGGTTTGGCAGGACCGTCCATGGAGAACCACATGGACATGTCTCATCTGCAAATGCCCAAACACATGTCAGTACCGCAACAGGACGAGCCCAGTGATCTGGAGGAACTGGAACAGTTTGCCAAAGCCTTTAAGCAGAGACGCATCAAACTGGGCTTTACACAGGTAAAGTGAAAGACAAAGACCCCAAAGATGTGATGTCCCTATAGCTGCTGATTCAAATTGATATCTATATTGATTAATTAGCTGTGATGTCCCTATAGCTGCTGACTCAAATTGATATCTATATTGATTAATTATTGATTATTGTTCTTTCCCACAGGGAGATGTTGGCCTTGCGATGGGAAAACTCTACGGGAATGACTTCAGCCAGACAACCATCTCCCGTTTTGAGGCTCTGAACCTCAGCTTCAAGAACATGTGCAAACTCAAACCTCTGCTGGAGAAGTGGCTCAGTGACGCAGGTACGAGACAGAAGACGACAACAGCTGCTATCTTTCTGTCTAACCTAGACGTAGACCTTGTTCTCAATTTTTTTTGTTTCTTTCCTTTTTTCTTTCTTTCTCTCTTCACAATAGAAAACTCTCCATCTGATGCAATGAACAGCCCGTCTTCCCTGCCCCCACTGATGGAGGGATACGGACGCAAGAGGAAAAAGAGGACAAGCATCGAAACCAATATCAAGCTGACTTTGGAGAAACGTTTCCTGGATGTGAGTTATTGTTAACTGCTGATGATAATGTGTAATCTCTCTATCAGTCGAATCACTAAAGTTTTAATCCAGTTATTTAGGCGGGATCTTAGATGCTGTTAAAATATTAGAAATTGTCATTAATGAGCTACAAATCACATCTGTGCAGGACAAGACGTGTGCCACTAACGTTCCATTACATGAGATACATACTTTGGCCAGTTATTTTATAGTTTTCTTTTAGATTTTCGGAGTATTTTTACTACTGTGTTCTACTATGTTCTAGCAATAGCTTTAATAAACTACTGTCTTAACCTTTTATGCTAAGACGTGTATTGTGATTGAAATTAAAAACAAATGTTTTTTTTTTTTTACAGAACCCCAAGCCCAACTCTGAGGAGATATCCCTGATCTCAGAGCAGCTGTCCATGGAGAAGGAGGTGGTTCGAGTTTGGTTCTGTAACCGGCGTCAGAAGGAGAAGCGGATCTACTGCCCTGTGACCAGTCTACCTGTCAAGTCTCATGGCTACAACTCCAGGATGGTGAGTTATCGTTTAGATTCGATCACTCCAGGCTGTTGTACTTGGTTTATAAGGACTTCCTACAAGACTCCATTATAATAAACAAATACAACGTATTATAATCGAGTTCCATATCTGTCTGTGGCCTGTGGAGAGGTCGTGGCTAACATGTCTTCAGGCTGGTAAATTTCTAGAATCCTCTCCTCCTCATGTAAATGTGAAATATACAGTAAAGCTGCGAAGCTTTACTGTATATTTCACATTTACATGAAATGACCAATGACATGAAGAGTAGTCAGGATGACACCTGCTGAGGACAAACACAGGGATGTGAGGTCCTAATTCAGAATATTACTGAATATGAGAACTGTTGCCTATAAAGGTAAAAAAAAATGAAGAAAAAGAAATCTAATTTCTCTGTTTCAGGCTCCAGCATCCAGATCCTACAGCCCACTGACTACAGGTGCAAGTAGGTTTTGTTTTTGACACTTGCCTATTGATAATGCAACAAAGTACAAGCAGGATATTTTTCCAGAGCTATTTTCTAAAGCTGGTAATGGTAAGCAAACTATTCTATCTACTGCCTTCCAGTTTCATCAAATTCCTCCCCGAACTGTGTGAGCCGTGAAGCTTCTCCCAACGGCCTGTCCTCAGCAGCAGTGTCTCTATCATCTCAGGTTAACGCTGCTTCCTACAGCACACCCAGGTAACAGAGAGAGAGTTTAAAGTCTTTTCCCCTCTTATACAGCAAATCATTTATTTATTTATTTTATTTATCCTAAATTGACTATATTTCAGTGTTCATTTTATATATATATATGTTTGTTTGTTTTGTTTTAACCAAAGTTGTATGACTAAGCTGAAGGTTTCATGTTCATGTTTATTTGTCTGCGTTAATACTGTGACTCTCCCTTTGGCTTTGCAGCTCCTGGTACCGTACTTGGAATCCTGCTGCATATCATCACTGAAACACACAAACTGTAGAATATGAAGATTTTTTAAGAGTGTACTTTTGTTATTGTTTGGTAGCAGGGATATTCCGCTCCAGTGTAACTTAACGTTTGCCCGTTCTAAATGTGGGTTAAGAGCACAAGTTTCAAAACAGGAACCATCCCACGGGGTGACACACAAGTTCAACATGCCACACTACTGTCAACATTCAAGCCTCACACATTTTCACAGCCCTGCAGCTGTTTGATAATGTTCATGTGACTCTTCTCTCTTTTCTCTTAAAGTTTGTGCAAACATAAAGAAAAGCAAAGGGCGACAGGAAGTCTGAACACATGCTGGTCATCCATAAATGCTCCGACTAGTTTATTCCTAACTTTGTTGCTCTTTTAATATGGAAAGAAATTCAGATTCTCCAGACATGTTTCATCAATGTGATGCTTGATTTTTTTAAAACATATTACAATCTAATATTATTTAATTTAATGTAAGTATACAGTGTGACTGTTTTACTACCCAAATAAAAAAATGAAGTCAATAAAGGATACAAGTACAGTTCTAATAATAGCAACTTATTAAATCATTAGCCATCATATTGATGGTCTGACGTGTAAAGGCAACGAAAAGACTTTTCCATTTATCCATTTTCATCCGCTTATCCATTACCGGGTTGCGGAGGCAGAGGTCGTTGATAAGGTACATTGCACCATACCAACCCCCCAAACCTGTGGAACCCCACGTGAACCCTGGGGTTCCACACCAATGACATTGCCTCTGGGACAAAGCGACACATGAAAAAAACTTTTTAAAAAGAAATTGTTTTCACCTCAAACTTAAGGCAAAAATTATAAATGTTGCCATATTTTTTACTGACTTCAACTCACTTCTTGCTAATAGCTTCTAGCTACTTGCCGCTAAGCTAATGCTTTTATTATTATTATTATTTATATGTAAACCCATTTTAAAACAATGTCTACCAGAGCAAATGCAAATGTTTACTATTTATTTAAGAGAAGCAACAAAAGCCCCAGTTATGCCATTTTTAAAGGAAATTGTACATGATAACCCTGCTAATTTTAAACCACGGGATACACAGATATTGCATTACACATTCAGATATGTTTTCTAGTTTGAATATTGGCAAAACATGATTTGGACACTGATAAAAAGGCACTTCACTGTTGCATGCCGAGGTGTTGGTCTAGAAAAAAACTTTTCCTCTCAATGTAACAATTTTTTGAAACAATAGTTTCTAAAGGGACCGGCTGAGCCTGGTTGTAAATGTCATTAATAAGTTGATATGTTGTTATTTTAACTTCTGAAGCCTTTTGTATATTTGTCAAATGTGGTCATTCTAGACCGTTAGTGTGGATGTGACTTTTGAAAATGCCAGCTTTCCTGTGTTGTGTCTTGCAGAGTTTTTCAATGTTTGTTTATCCAAGGTCAGTTCTGATCCAAAAAAAAAAGCCATTTCGAGAATCTACCTTTAATGTGAATGTGCAAAAATGTGGATTATTAGTGACCTCTGCTGGTTCAACTCCAGATGCAATCTTTCGGGCACAAGTCACAATCGGGCTGCTCTCTGGTTGTGTTGTTTTTGTTGTTTTGTTTTTTTATGAAGTGGTGTAAAGTTTTTTGTGTTTTGTCATTTGAAACAATACGATGTTGATAAGACATTATAAGCAGTAGATTTTATCTGGGTTTACCATTTGTGGTAATGTGGCCCCCTCTACTGGTAAGCAAAGGGAGCGATTTTTTCACTAATGGTGCGACTGTGGCATCAGATTTTTATAGACATGCTAGTTGCAATGCTACACTGGAGTGGCTAGATCTGCTAAATAGGCTAATAATTTTATGTGGAATAAATTATCTTCTCTTCAATGTTTAGGCTAGTTGTATAAGGTGAGGACAACCATTCTCTTCACCTCAGGGAACCTTTGTGTTTGCATCATATTCCAGCGATTCTTGTTACATAAACAGAAAATGTGTGCTTTATTATCAATGCTTTTTTCTTCAATAAAACACCTAAATGTTATATTTCTATTGGCGACAACAGAGATGTGACAACAAATAAAATACTGCGGCTGCTTTACACCCCGGGCTGGACAAAAAGCTTTATTGTTTTTTTCTGCAACACAAGATTTTGTACACATATGTACATGCCAAAGTCTATATAATATCTAAAATATCAAATCTGGTAACAGCACATTGTAATAATTGTAAAGATACAGAACCCACAGAAAAAGACAAACCTTAAAAATGGCACACTATATACACTTTTATGGTAACAGAATATTAAAACAGACTGGTAAGAATTAACAGATGGGTGATAAAAAGCTCTGTCTCTACAGAGACACTTTTCACTGTTTTTCTATACATGGAAGGATCAATCATCTGGGTATCCTCCTTAATCTTCAGCAGATATTTGAGCTTCTGTTCAGACGTGGTCCACTGTACACTGAGGTCAGCATTAAATTGTTTCCATATTTTGTGCGTTGACTTGTTTGAGCAACTCAGATTTCTTTAAACCTGCAATAAAGAGTTGGGTTATTACAAATGAACAGATGTTTTGAGTATAAAAAAATATACTGATGTCGTTCATACTGACCCCCTGACCCTGGGTAGATGTCCACACCAGCCTCTCACCTCCTTATAAACAAGTCTGGACAAAAGCTAGAAAATAAACAGTAAGACAGTCAGTGTGTCCTCTTAGAACCACGAGAACATTATCATTAGATTGTTTAAAAGATTTTTGACTGAAGTGAATCAGTGTAGCTCCTTACCAAACAGGCCAAGATGTCTGCAGACATCAGCATGTAGAAGACATTGTTCCAGCCTGTGGGAGAAATCACCCCTGCCAGCAGAGGGCCCAACGCAGCTCCTGCAAATCACAAGTAGAAGACTGTAAACTTGAAAAATGACCTAAATGGTCAAATGTTAGGTTGCAAAAAGGTGAGGAAGAAGTAGAAATAAAAGGAAATTATTGGTTATCATATTGGCCATATGGACCAAGTAATTATTGGTTGACCAGTGTATTAGCATTCCTCGAAAAAAAGGTGTCTAATTATAAGTAAATAAATAAAAAAATAAGAAATTGATCATTAACTGCAGACAAAACACTAAATTAAAGAGCCAAACAAGCAGAAAGACCGTTATTTAATTAAATCCAAGACCATTATATTTTGCCAATAGATTAACTTATTTTATTAAGCAAAAGACAAACACAGAAACCCTACAACAATAATGTCCAGCTACTGTGTACTGGGGTGTACAGTAAATGTATTTTTATCAAGACTAAGAGCTTGTTTGTGGGTCATAAAACCTAAGGGATGAGCTTAAAGTTGTTAAAACACACCATAAACCAGAACAAAACAGCAGGGAGTTAATGGTAATGCTGATGTGACTCACTGTAAATTTCCACAGTGATTAGTGCAGGAGCATTAAAATAACAACGTGTACCTACCTATTGATCCAGTCCCGTCAATAATGGCTGTAACAGTCGACAGGGCCCTGGAGTTTCCTCTGAGACTCTCGTGTGTGCCCTGCAGCAAAGAATGCAAAAATGCAGATAAACGTACATTATAGAAGTGTGGTTTATATATTTAAATAAGTTCCACTAAATGCTTTTGAGGTTTCGGGGTCTTACCAGGTCGGCAGCTACAGCAGTAGTGATGAGAGCGTAGGGTCCGTTCACCAAGCCTCCACACACCAGCAACATAACTGTGTACGAAAGGAAATGTTAAACAAGCTTCACAGAAATAATGTAAATGTATTTTTTCTGACAGAATAAGATAAAGATCCATCTGAACTTATTTATAGTCACATACATAGTAAAAACAAGAGCAAAATACTGATGCTGGGAGCAGTAACAGGCCTGTTTATACTTGTACTTGCATCTGAATACATGATAATCGAATGAACAGATATTATGTCACAACCAGCTGTCAAAAACGAGTATAAAAATGGAAATACTTCTGAAGGTTAAATGAATATATAATCCTATCAGTTTGTAAAAATTGTACCAGGACAACTCTAGTAAAGACTATGAAGGAATCTTACCGATGGTAGTAGTGAGGTTAGTTTGTCCAATGCTGTTATAGAGGAAAAGCTGAAACAAAAACCAACCATCCATCAGTAGATGTCACATGTTTTCCAAACAAATTTTAATAAAGTTGTTGCATTAGGAACCGTTGATAACAGTTCAATGAAGTAACACTCACCATGGGCGCAGCAATCATTAACATGACCCAGCAGGTTGTTGCTCTTCCACCAGTATAATCTGACACCACACCAGCCATGATGCCTCCTGTGTGTACATAACAATTATATACAGTCACACAATGTCTCAGTGGCAACTGTATGATGGTACCAGTGCTGTTTAACAACAGCAATTCTGACAATCAAGGATGAAATTTTGATTGACTTTGAATCTGGGGTTAATAATAAAACATTTGTTAAATTGTGATCACACACTGTCTGCAGTTTCCCTTTCACAACAAGTGTACAGAGTGTAACTTACCCACAATTCCCCCAACATCAAACAGTGTTGACATGTCTCCTGCTTCTTTTGCATCGAAATGAGCTGAAATGTATAAACGAGAGTGTGTGTGTTTGCTTTACAAATAACATTTAACAATGATTCAATTTTAAAATGACAAAAACATAAATCTCTAATCACTGACCAACATTGGAGATGTAAAGAGGCAGCCAGTAGAGGAAGGTGTAGCTGACAAGTTTGGCAAACAGCAGACACAGAGAAAACTCCACCACTCCCTGAAACAAAAACATCAAACCAGAATTCTTTAATACGTGTTTTCCATTTGCAGTTAATGTTTGCATATCAATATTTAATAGTTGTGTAATGACCATATTCGACTTCTTCTGTCAAGTGACTTTTTAAACAATGCCCAATGTATGCTTTCGAGACCAGCAGAGGGAGCCAGATACCTGCATTAGATTACTAGCCTACAATGCTTTCAGACATATTGTTACACACTCGATTAAAATAAACCCAAAACCTCCCTGCCTCCCCGTTAGAGGAAGCTTAGGAATTGAATAAACGTGCTCACTGGTATTTTTAGAGCTCCACAGAAGCTGATGGCCTCGGTGTGGTCTTCAACAATCACCGTAGTCTCAGTGGAGATGGCGCCATTAGAATCTGCGAGCGTTCCCTGCAAGAGAGGCTGTACTTCACCAAGATCTTGATTGTTCTAACACACACACACACACAAGCACAACTGTCAGTCCACATCAGTCCTCTTGGTTTTAAAATGTTTTTAAAAAGTGAATGTTCATGTATGTCCTGTGAGTATAGTGTTGCCGAAGCAGAAGTGAGGCAACAATACAATTTGTGTGTTGAAAAGTGTGATTTTCTTTTTCAGTTCTCATGAGCGTGAGATTCAAGATGTCGAAGTCACTGAGCATACACAAAAAGAAAGTGAATTTATGTATTCTTAATTTTTGGAATATTTGAGAAAGTCTAATTTTGAAACGTTTCATTTATTACAACTTACATAGTGTTGAGGAGGAGTGCAATTTACATCTTCAGGTCCTGTAGATAAAGGCAAAAGAAATAATTACACAGGGTCTTTACAACAGCAGAGAACCTTGATGCAGAATAAAGTCTGCTTTCATTCGTTTGTGTGTTTACAGGAATCACATCATCAACAGAAACCTACTCTCCACCAGGAAGAAGAAGCAGATGATTCCAGTGGAAGCGATGATAGCCCCAGGAATGATGAAGGACAGTCCCCACGCTGAGGATACAAAGACTCCTGCTATGAGTGAACCCAAGATGTTTCCCACAGAGGTGTGGGAGTTCCACACACCCATGATGAAGCCACGCCTGAAGATCAAAACACAATCAGACCAACTATTATGGTGAAACTGAAACATTTAAATTTAGGATTTAGGAAACAGTGATATATGTGCCTTAGGTTAGTGTGCACTCAGATTATCATACTGTCCTGTTCTCAGTCATTACCTGAATAAAACGGTTAGAATGTATTCCCAAAGCAGGGAGTAGACACATGCTTTTCAAGCTCAACATAGCTGCTTTAGAAGTTACATGCAAATAATGTGGGATTTTCTTGAAGTATTTATCAGGTGTAATATAAACAAACCAATATATATTTATACGCAATGTTTTTATATTTCATTTATATTTTTGGTATTTTATTTGGAATTTATTTATTTTTTGTGTAGCAGGCATTAAATGTTTGTGAGTTCAATGTTGACCAACAGGATTGTAATTAGATTTTCTTTACACTCGAGCAGCCTAAGTCTCAACCAAAGGAGAAAAAATAATAAAGGACAATCTGAGTAAAATCACTCACCAAGGTGTGGGAAATTTTCGCGTTTCTAAACCAAAAGTAATGCTTTAATTTGTAAAAATTTAAATGATAGCACACATCAAACACTACACAACTCAGTACATCAGCTCTGTCATTACAGCTGGAAATGGTTAGAGGTTTTAAGCTATTTTTAACTTCTGCTGCGTACATAAAGCATTAAAAACGTCACTGTCCTTAAGATTGTGCATAATAATTGCTGCTCCCCAAGCCTGTTATTCTACTTCGGCCAGCCAAGAGACGAAAATATTTGCAGCACCAATTTGTGCTTCACAAGTGCATTGAACAACAGCCCTTTGCGTTTCTATGACGCAAAACCAGCACTGGTGTGATCGCAGCAACATCATCATTATAATTGAGTATTTACTGCACTACACAAATAAGTTCTAGTTGAAGGTATTAGTGGAAGTCAGAAATAAATTGGGCCAATTCTTAAACGTGTGATCACTATGGGAGAGTTAAAAGAACACTGTTTTTATAGGTTAAGTTTCAAGAACTCCTCAAAAAAGGATTTGGTTGGTCACAAATATTTGAGTCATTTTAGTTTCAGGGAGGCAAAAACAGGAGGAACAAGAAGAGGATTTACAACCAACCTACATGATTGCTAGTTGCTGCAGCTAAGATGAGAGTTAAGAATAAGGACTGATGTTCAATAATTGTTTTTTCCCACTGGACTTTCAAAATGTGAGTAAAGCACCTGTGTCAGCTATAAAAACAGACATATGATACTGTAAAGTCAGCAGGTCTTCTCTCCCTGTACTTACTTCCCCTTTCCAAACCAGTTGCCGACACAAGCCACCACTGCTGGCCAACCTGTGGTCTGCACAAGCCCATTCATGACCTGCAGAGCGAAACAAGACAGACCCGTGTTAACCCAGAATATCTGAGCTTTGCAGTCTTATTGTATATAAATTGTCAAATTGTTTATAAGAATTATGTGTAAAGCACACTGTACTTGTTAACATTCTCTAAAAAAACTCAAAAAGCCCAGACACGTGCCTGCAGTCATACGATGCAGCTGTGAGTCATGTGACATATGAGAAGCCTAAGCTGCTGTGGGATCTCTGTTCGTAAAAGGAGTGGAATGATGTGCTGAGCCTGAAAGTTAACTTCTGTCACACCAACCGTTGAACAAATGTGACAATGATCTGTCAAATTCAATTATTGCTTTAAACTGTGAAACACTATTTGGAATATTTCACTGTTTTCTGACAATTATGGGATTTATGGTTTATATCTATGACAGACAGAATTAGAGCTTGATTTGTCTCTACTGTATGAATCTGCACAAATTCCTTCTGATTCTGTTTAAAAAATAAAAATTTGAAATTAAACAAAAAGTGAATTAAAATATACCTGTACACTTTAACAACACCTAATAAGGCTGCTTAGGTAAACAAACAAACTAGAAATGTAATTTCTGTGTTGACATACAAATTAATCTGAAGGTCAACTACTGTTAGTTGAACAGTATGGGGCTGCATCTTTACCTGGACAAAAGCGTAATAACTCAATGAGTGAATGTTCAAGTAGAAGCCGAGGCCAAAGAGACACGTGAACAGCCCACTCAACAGCATCCCAACACTCAGGTAGTAACGCAGTGGGAGGCGCTCTGCAAATATGCCACTGTCATCCCAAAAAAAAAGAAAGTTTAATGTTGAATGTATTGTGAACAAAATCAGAACAAGTAACAAATGGCATCAACAAAACCTACTAACCTGAAAAACATGCCAATGGCATATGTGACCAGGAAACAATTATCCAAGATCCCGAATATTGTCTGATAGTTGTCTCCATCTAGAAAAGGCACATCATGTATTTTATGTTCCACAAATTCATAGCACAAACAAATAGGAGAATTCTTCTCTTGTTCTCATTTCTTCCAAATTCTTTATCAGTTTCCTAAATTTGAGAAGATAAAAAATGATAAGTAATTACCAAAAGGCACCCAATTACACCAGGTAGCATTGTTGGTTATGTTAAGGTCAGCAGGTCGAATGATGTTGGAGCAGTTTCTGTGCAGCTCACTCTGAAAATCGGAGGAAAAAGATTTTATGGAAAAATATGTATATTGAAAAGAAAAAAAAAGAGTAGAAGAAGGGTTACAATTGTAATGTTTAAAAGTTTTTTAAAATGTTGTGAACATTACATATATGCAGCACAAACATTTGCTTTTTAACCACCTTACATCGATAGTAAATGTAAAAAAAAAAAATTAATGGAATAAAATTGTCTAACCTTGACAATGCTGATAGGTTTCCGTGACAAGTGGTATGCCGTGTAAAAAAGGAACGTGAGAAAAAGAATAAAACTGCGATACCTGCAAATGGAGAAGAGTTCAATTAAAGTTGAACAACTGCATAACATATACAAGAATCAATATCAATGTTATAACTAGTTCCACTATTACTTATTCATTAACAAATAGAACAAGATAACCTATATGGGAATAAATTAATGGATCTTAATATATATTTATTTTTAAAAATTCAATTCTCTTTTTAGAAACATCAGTATGGACACAAACTCAAAGATAACAACACCATAAATCAATAACATTTTTATGGATGTTTTTCCACTGACAACTGTGTTATTCTGGGTCAAAGCCACAACAGCACCATGACAAATACCTGGTAATAAAATGTTGTTTTTTTCTTATTCATATATTTGACCTTTGACTGAGTGCTTTTATGGCACAACCTTGAGACATAGCACAATGCTGTCAAGTAGAAATTCAATTAACACCAGCAACTTGTTAAAATATTAAAATATTTTCACAACTGACAGAAATGTTGTGAAAAATGTTGTAAAGCTTGAAGAACAGATATTTAAAAGGTTTCTGAAAGTTTACATAAAAGTGTCAGTTGAAAGTTGTTACTACAAGATTTTAAGTTTTCCCACTGGTTATACTGAATAAGGCAAATATTCAGTATCGTATACTTACCATGTATTTAAGAATATCTCTTACTATCTAAAGACTGTTTAAAGCTTTGTTACATAAAGGTTTAGCTACAAATTAATATAAGTCTTTTTGTCATATTTGTCAAGGATAGATAAAATATAATGTAGCATTGTTTATAGGAAGTGACAAAAACCTAAAAATGACAGGGTAACTCAAAAGGTTTGTTTTTCCACAACAAGCCTTTCGAGTAGTAGAAGCATTCAGTCAGTGACGTAGCACAGAGAAAGAAAGGAATTTCTCACATTTGCCTAAGTGTCCTACAAAACCAGAAGTGAACAATGCTTGAAGGTGGCATTGTACTTTGATAAATAGGAACTGCTTGAAAATGAAGAACTTTACTCATTCACATTTAGCCTGAATATATATTTGACAATATAAACGTTAAACAATTACGATGATTACTTATAGATTCAATTGCATTTAACCATTGAGGAAATTCATATAATGAATCCACTGATTAGTCAATTAAAATATTCTTGTAGGAATTAATGTTGTTGTTATAGAAGTAGCGTTTTATTTGAAAACTCCAGACAGTCAATTGTGTCTTTTCCTGTTGTTATCTTGAAAACAATTTGGAAATCAGTAAATTCAGACGGCTGGTGGAATGGAAAGGTCAATCAATAAACCTCACACAACAAATGATTAATCACTGTTTTTGTAAGAATAGTAGGTTATTAATGATTGGAAATGTACTAAAGTAGTGCTAGAAGTGGCTGGTGTGTGAATTCCTAAAATTCTAGAGGTATTGCGGATACCATCGACTCGTTAAAGATCAGTTGTGTGTTAGTTTTAGAGAAAGCTTCTGAAATACATTTTACGGTAGAGTTTGCCATAAAATATTCAAAATAAAAATAAATTACATGTTATAAACATAGAACTCATGGGTAACAACAATAAATGTTCATTGGAAAACCACGGAATGAATGTGTTTATCAGTGGTGAAGAGTAAATCATTAACATTAGTCAGATAACACTGACACATACTATTAAGGTTGTAATGTGTGAACTATGTTAACTTACCAACTATCTCGAGAAAACGACGTTATTAGTCGTATTCCAGGAGCCCGACCGGAGTTCATTTTGTAAAAAAAAAAAAAATTAAAAACGTGACGTAATTTAGAAAGCCGAAAAGCTCAGAATACTATGCCAGAAGTAATTTAGAAGGCCGAAAAGCTCAGAATACTATGCCAGAAATTAATATAAGCACCATTGGGCTAAATGCTAACAAAAATCAAAGTGATACTGGCTTAAATGTGGAGACTATTGTTATAAACAGATCGTTACGTAAAATAACACACAAAAGACAAAAACTGATTGAGGAATAAAATAATTTAAAAAATAAATATTGTTATATTAAAAATCGCTGGAAAAGATCTAATGCTAAGTGCTAATAGAATAAAGGAGCAATCGTTTAGCTTCGTCTGAGTAGATAAAGTCCGTAAAGCAGCAGCGGATCTCCATTCTGTACGCCAGGGTTTTATGAGTCTCGCCTGAGAGCCAGCCTCCTACCTCCGTACGGCTCTAGCATGAATCCAAAAAAGGGCGTCCGTTATAACTAGAAAACAGATATAATTATTCGTTTTAAACCCCGATGTTTATTCCAGTCGTTTTTCCAGTCGGACTGTCCCGGCAGACACGTGACCTCCCCAGCCGAGATGACGACAAAGCGGAAACAGCTGAAATGTGGTGCTGGGCCACCAACCGACTGTGGGCAGACATGGATCAATCCATATAGAGCTCAACAGCGCCCAATCAACACAAAGGGACCATCGCGGTATTGCAGATAAGATTTTTTTTTTTTTAATGTTTTACAATTAGGTTATAATTATGCAAGTGCAAAAAGTAAACATCAGTTAAATAAATATATTTTTATCATTATTATGATAGTGTCACATTTTACAAGAGAAATTCAAAGTAAGAAAATAAATGGTATATTTAAAAAATATATTAACACACACAGCACACACCTACATTAATTCATACACAGTAACAGTATTTGTTACCAAAATGTGTGACCAATTACAACACTATCTTGTAGATACCTTGTATATATCATTGTATTACTATTTAAAATAAATGAAATTAAACTGTTTTGTAGTGTTTTTTCATTATAATTTATCAATTAAACATTTACCTTTAAATTTAGTTTATTTCTCTTTGACACTAAAAACCACAGTAACGTAAACAAGGAATGATGTAGCAGTCTACCTTCGCAGGTATCAAGTCTTTGTTTTCATCAACTAAGTCAAATAGAGACGATCATTTTGTTTAAGCTGGACTAGATGCTTTTGTTTGCACCTCAAATATCATCTTAAAAAGCTGCCTAGAGGCTCAATTTCGCTGTATCCCTGTGTTACAATGACAATAAAGAATACAATCTTCATCACTGTGTGTTGTACTTTTACTAACACTGTGCATATATTTGTATTACCTGACTGACAGACTTAACAAATAGAAAAGAGCTCTCTTCCTCAATGGCATTTTCGACTCCAGCCTAGTACGTTTCCCTTACTGAAAACCCAAGCCCATCATCGCAGAGTGTAACGCCTGGGCATAAGCTGTGAATGAAAGAATAAAAGCAACTGTGAAGCCTGTTGTTTATTGTTTCACTGAAGCACATTCTTAGTGAGTACACTGCAGAAAGTAAAGCAGCTGACAGTGTGTTTACAGTAGGTACCTTTGGGATTGTTGTAGAAGACACAGTTGTTAGCACAAGTGTCAGGATGGGAGTCCCAGAAAGAGGAGGCACAGCAACAGAGAGGAGGAAGCTCTACTTTCTCCTGAGACAGTCTCTCTTTCGCCTGTGCTCTCAGAGCATCAACGTACCTGCAGAGTTTCATTCACATCTTTTACATTCAACCTTATGAAGCCATTACATATTTTTAAGACTGTGCTTCTCTCTTTCTGTTGCAGCAATAACACAGATCTAAGTTCTGGTCTGGTTAGTCATCACACTGAGTTTTTAAAAACCTAAGCGGTCACATGACACATTGCCATAATATAATTGTTTGACTAATTAAAAAGACCGCCACCAATCACTTGGTTGGGAAACATAAATTTATTTTTGACCAAAAAATGTAATGTTGCTGTGTAATATACTATGCCCTAAATGAGCCCTTGTTCTTTAGAATTGCTTTAAATATTTAAAGGCATGTAATGTTAATTTAAACACTGACCTAAAATTTTCAAACCTATCATGTCCTTCAGAAGTCACTGGTTGGGGAACTAAACCCCGAACAAACTAATCAAGAGCTCCATTTAACAAGCACTCCCATAAAGTCCTCTATTATTTACCTGGAAGTTTCTTTTTGTTTCTCTTCCTTCTTTGTCCTCTGCAGCTCAGCAGCTCTCTCTTCCTCCTCCAGCTTCAGTCGTTCTAGAATCAGTAGCTCCCGTTCCTCCAGCATGTGCCTGGCTGCTGCGAGCTGTCGAGCACCTTCTAACTTTTTTTCTTCCTCCAAACGAATCTGTTCTTTCTCTGCCTTGATCCTATTAGAGGCACACATGTCTGAGCAATTACCTTCTTACTGAATAATCACATAATTATCATGATTCTTATGTCTGAGTTTTAGTCAGGTTTGAACAGAAAGTATTGTAGCTAAATCAAAGCTGATACAGAAACACAGATGTAGAATATTGGGCCATAGCTGACAAAATAATAGGATGGTGATGACTTTTGACCACCACAGCACATGTATACTAAATATAAATAATCTACATAGGTGGAAGTGGTACGTCCACCATCACCTCTCTGTCCTTTTCAGGTGTCTCCTGTGCTGCATGTTCTCTTTCACTTGCTCTCTCTCGTGGTCCATGAACTGACGACGTTTCATCCAGAAGCGAGATTGCCACTGCACAGATAAGCAGATTAAATGTAAAAAGTATTCACAAGGCAATGTTAATGCAAATATTAAATACATACCTGTCTTTTCAGCTCCTCCTGGTCATTCATTGGCCAAAGAATTTTTGTGGGTTTGAGGCTGGATTCAGAATCAGGCTGTAATTTGTCAGAATCCCACGTTACGTGTCTTCTGTCCTGAAACGAACAATTATTACAGAGTTTACTATGTTTATTGTTTATGCAAAAAATGTCAGATGCTATTATACGGCCCCTAGTTTTGCACTTAAGACAGTTATAATGATAAAGCTTATTAATGTTTGTTTTTGTCTACAGTGCACAAAGTTCTTATTAAAGTTTTTACTATTGTTTTTATCAAAATTAAATACTAACAGTAATAGTCTGCTATAGTGATTTAAAAAAAATATAATACAATACCTGAGGGTCAAGTTAAATAGTAGTAACACCAGGAAGCACCAACATTTTTAAATTGCAATACAGAGAAGATAATTATAGTAAAATTTAGACTGCAGTTTTTTGTTCTGTGTTTTTTGTGCTTGGATATGTAACAGTAATGGAAGCAACAGAGGTATCTTCGTCATTTGTACCCTTTCTTTTAGAACTAACTCTATTTCAGTTCTATAGGGAAATAAAACTACTTCTGATTTGGTTTGTACCACAGATTTCACTCAGTTATTTCCCATCATGCTTTAACCTCCATTTTCTTCTAATGGGAATCTGATGTGGTTCAAAATAATGTTTTACTAAATTAAAAACCTGGTTAATGTTGACAACATAAAGCAACACAACTGTTAAAACTATTTGCCTACAAAGGAAACAACCAGAGGGAATTTCAGACTTTTTAAAATCCTGTTAGCAAAAAGTGCAAAGCATCTGAGAAAAGGCCAATAACTGCTGAGGGAAAAGCTGTTACACCTATTATGACGAATTTTACATATAAATACTTATAATTTCACATTCTACTGGCAGACATATAATGTAAAACTATTTTACTTTTATTATTATGCCGTAATGACCAAGCTTGGGATCAATAAAGTATATCTATCTATTCAAGAACTTTTAATAGAGGTATATGTAGCACTGTTTGTCATATATCCTACAGCAAAACAAATCAAAATTATTTTTTTCAAAATTACTTAAATTTTATTGAACACTGAAAATCAACTAACCCTCTGCTGAACAAGGGGACATTTATGTTGACGACTGAAGTCAAGACAACCTCCTTCCTCCATTGTGTAAGTGTCATCCTCCACTTCTTGCTCTGTCCAGACCACATGGTGTGCACTTTTCTGCTGGACACAGAGGAAGTTATTGTCATATTGTGCAACATTCCAACACCTAAAGGAAATTATTATAAAGAGGAAGAACTGTGAGACACTCACATGTCTGTTTGGAGACATGTTCCAATTCCCCCCAGGAAGGTCTGATGCTGTTTCTCTGTGGCGACAGGCAGCCAGTTTATGTCTGATGAGCCTCGTGCCTTCACCTGCCTGGAAAATCATGGAAACAAATAACACTGCAGATTATTCATAGTCACATTATTTTATTACTCACACAGGAAGAAAATGCAGTGATTCCGACTGCCTTAGACAATGAATGCTGTAAAGGCAATGCTTAAACAAGACAATGGGAGACTGCAGCACGTTTTCCAATATTTAATTGATACAATATTAAACTTTTTAGGAGTTTAGGATAAAGTTATATCAGTGATGTCTAAATTACTAACTTATAATTTTGTAAATATGCATATCTGCTCTATTCTGTTGGACAACTTGTAGTTGTATAAGGCCAAAATATCTGTAGTATGTAATACAACTAATTAAATTTTAGTTAACCCATATAGTTATCAAAAGTTAATGAGGATCATTTAACAGTGAGTGTTCACATTTGTTATTCCAGTGCTACATGAGGCTCAGCTCACGACTTTGTCAATTTTGGTTTTCACATTAAACTGTCAGAAACAGTCTCACAGTGACTTGTGATGGTGTGAACAAAGTGACTGGAGGAAGTACAGTAGGTTGAAATATGTTTTTAACTGTGGCAAAGGGCAAACTAAGAGAGGGGTTATATCTCTCATCATTTATTAAAACAGGCTATGTTGCAATATGAATGTGATAATTTATGAATTGTTTATATTAAAAAGTGTCATTGTTAAGATTTATAAACATCTTGTTTTAGTAAGTTAATATATTAAAGATTTTTTTTTCTTTCTGGAAAAAGAGGCTATCATGATTCAGTGAGTCATAGTGTCTCATTTTATAACCTGTTGGTACTGTTTCAGGACCCTGGTGTACTGTGTGATTGATTGTCACTAGGATGAACACTAAGTCCTTACAGCCACAATTCAGACGCACATTTGTGTAACCCATGTACAAATTGCTGAGACAGCAGCCAGGAGCTGTCCTGGACACATCCAAACGTAGGCCTAAGGAAACCTCAAGTTTTTAGCCAGAAGAAAAACATTTTGACCCTTGTACCTACATGTGCGGTGTGACCTACTATAATAATGTGAAATCTTAATTTAACCAACCCCTCTCACCTCTTCATAACTCTGCTGCAATAACTTGTGTTTTGCAGTAACTCCTTGTGACATCACCGCGTCCCCAAGAGGCACATGCTGGGACTTGACGTCCAAATGTTCTGAGATTCTTCTGCCAGGTTTCACCTGAATATAACCAATTTTAACAAGAAGGTTTCACTTACAGCATCGACTCATAACAATGACACAACACAGAAAGTCCATTACCCTGATTAGTAAATATGCACTACTTGACATGAATACAATCATTTTTTCATTACCACCAGTCCACTCTGAAGTTGCTGTCTTTTCTTGAGGAGCTGGGTCTGCAGTGCCACACGGTGGCGCACATCATTCTGAAAACGACGAAGGCTCTCTTCATTCTGTCTTCTCCTCTCTGTCTGGAGCTTCTCAGTTATCGAAGCCAGAGTCTAAAACAAGACATAGAAGAACAGTTTAGGTTTTTGTGTAACTATACAAGCAGAATATCGAAACTTAAGTCAAATAAAACTGCAAAGAACACAATATGCATACATAACATACACAGTGTACGTTAAGAATATGGAACTATGGTTAATGATTAAATGTGTTAAGAAATAAAATTGGCGAAGACACACGAACCTTTAATAAAATGGGGTGTGTTTTGTATACGAGGAGGAAAACGCCTTTAAGGTGTATACTGATTACACATTGCGAAGATATACAGGTTAATAACTAGACTTACAGAGGGGTGTTGTTCGAAATCATGGCCGTCCTCCACCCAGGCTCCAACTGCTGCCACAGCCTGGTTCCTTTCTGCCAGCACTCTGTTAGATCGATTGGTTCTGGAGGCTCGTTGCTGTTGTTCACTGCTAACTGAGCCTTTGTTTTGGCCGTGGGTCTGAGCTTTAACTCGGCTAGCATTCATAGCAACTAGCTTTCATAACCAGATTGACGCGCTTACAAGGTGTTTCAGACGTAGACATCAAATACCGCATGGGTTAGGAACATTTCTTACGCATACTGTTTGTTCGCCTTTATAAATTAACCAAAGAGAAAGCATTGTTGTCCATTTAAGCCCAGGCCTTCGGTTGTTCGACAACTCTGTTTGAGTTTCGCTCTCTTTGTTCTTCGTGGTGTAGCCTCACGTCAGCTGTTACGCACTACTGCCCCCACGAAGAAAGGAGCACAAACAACAATACACATGATTTGTTTGTCGTTTGTAATCAGTTGGTGGCGAGCAAAACTTAAAATTATCTTGTTGGAAATGTATTAAGCCATCAATAAAACATTGACCTTATGCTCAAGTAAATAATTCAAATGTAAATGATAAAATTAAGAAGGAAAAAATAAAGTGAAAAAACAAAAACAAGCTGACAGAAGAAAAAGCCCATGCCTTCCATCATCTGTTGGATTTTTACAGATGACTGATCTGAAATGCATAAAACCTTACTAAATGCATAAAACATAAACATCTATGTGATATTCTGAGTAATACAATATAAAATATATCTTTCCAGAGTTCTTCAAACCCTCTTTCCTATTTTCTTCAGTTTCTACATTAAAAACACCTGGGTAATCTGAAGTCTACAGTGGTATATATAGTAATTTCAGGGCAAACCTCCTGCAGGCATTGTATCAGTTAATTAATATGTATCTTTTAATTATCAATTAAAGCATCAAACATGAGCTGGTCATCTATTTTTTTTAGATTTAAGTAGTTTATTTTTAAAAAATGACAGTATTTAATCAAGTGAACTGTAACTTAATTGCACCACACAGTGTGCAATCTGGCCATATTCAGATATATAGGTTACTCTTAATGTCAGTGGTTTGGACAGATTTTCGCAGGACATCTGTGCTGGGAGAGGAGTCTAGCTGTAGGGAGGAGAAAATGCAGAGAATACATTATTTTATAAACAAGGAATTACAATGAAAGGTAAATACATTAAATAACACAAAAAGACATCATTACATTTGTATAAAATAATGCATACAATGTCTAATGCTATGTTTTTAATGAATTTGTAATCATCATTATTACATGTTTGTCAGTTGTCTTAGGAATGATTTTCTGCATCTGACTTTTTATTTAATTTTATTTAATTTACACTTAAAACAGCAAATATGTTAGAATTGTAAGAACTCTTTTGAAGAAACAATTTCTCTAGTTTTTAGATAAAGCAAATAAAACTATTGGTCTGGTTATTAAAAATGTAATATGTTTAATATAATACTGTTCTTCATTGTAACCAGTCTGACCTTTCTAAAATTTGTTTAAATATATAAAAGGGGATAAAAAGAAGAAGAAAAAAAAGTCTAATGTCTAACCTGTATGGATTTTCCAAGTTTGGCAAGTGCAGGCTTGAAGGTCTCCATAGAGACAGAGTCGGGGCCGTTGACATCACTGTAACACTGGTAAACAACAGCAGCGATCCTGTAAACCTGGCAGTGATTCAGTACTAATGAAACAGCACAAAGAAGAAAAAACAAGGTTAATCTACAAAAGTACAAAAAAGGACATATATTATAAAAATATTCCCAATCCGTGAAGCTAGGACAGTTTACAGTGAGATCAATAAAGCGTCAATGATCAGTGACCAGGGGTCTGTTTTCAGGGGTCACATGGATTTGTTTGAAACGGCCAATGTCTTTAAGTGCATCAGGGCTAAAGTTGACCAAATCTGAATGCAGGATTACGTTCCCAGAGAGTGGAGGGAAGCCTAATGCAGCCACATTTCATTTAGTTGGCAGACGTTTTTGTTCGAAGGTTGTTCCAGTTCTCTCACATACACACACACACACACACACCAGGACTAAGCACAAAATTTGGAATTGATTTCTTGTTCAAGGACACTTCCAAGGAGAAAACGTAGAGAACGAACCCTGACAAAAGTTAGATTTATAGTCACAACAAAGAGACTAATACTCTTGTGTAGTGCAGCACTTAGCTTTATTACTTCACAGAGAGAAGTGATCACTGTGAGAAGCTCTGCAGTCTAATGTCTTTCCAGGAAGGGTGCAAACGAATGGACATTTTTTAAAAAAGATTCACCATCAGAAACCTCAAGTAGCATCAGATGATACAACATTGATCAAACACAACTCTGCCTAAAATCAACAAGGTTAAGTCACTGAATGTCACCTTTGTCTTTATTGTTTAATTAGCTAGTTTAAAGGCTACAATCTCTCAGTCCTGCAGGACATGGAAACAACAATTTTTGGCTGTTGACTTATTCTTGCAAAGTCAAAATTTTGCAATATTAGATAATATAAGCAAAACGATGAATTAATATGAGTATTTAAATAAAATAACTTTAATTTCACATAAAATAAAATCAACCCAAGCATAATGTAGTTGAACAGTAATATTTGTATTGCTGCAGTGGTGGCTTAGTGGTTAAGGAAGCAGACTTGGGTCCTGGTTCTAGTCCACCAGCTGTGAAGTTACCACTGAGGTGCTCTGAGCACGGCACCGTCCCCACACACTGCTCCCCGGGTTCTTATAAGCTGCTCACACTTTGGTGATGGGTTAAAAACAGAGGTCACATTTTGTTGTGTGTGCTGTGGTGTGCTGTGTCACAATGACAAATAATTCACTTTCTTCTTTCTTTCTTCCATTCACAAGAGAATATGCGTCACTTTTAATGCTGGACAGTTTTGTAAAACTAAAATGTACTGCTACCATCTGTAGCACATATGCTAAGTTAAGACACCTGCAACAGTGAAACTAAGTGTGTAGTGACAGTACCTGAAGCTGAGAGCCCAGTGATTATGTTGGGTTGCTCCAGTGATGGGCAGGCAGTGCGGCCACTGAATACACCAGTGTGGAGAGAACGCAGGAATGGGGCAGAGCTAGTGCACAGATGGTCTGCTGTCATGTAATCAGTCACAGAGCAATCAGACAGCACTGTCACATTTAACCCTCTGTGCTGAAGACAAGCAAAGACCTGCAAAAGAAACAACAATCCAACATATGACTTCGAAGGGACAAACAGACAACAGACATTTTATTACAGTGAGATGAAGTTCAAACACTGGATACATTATTAGATACATCTAACGAGGACTTGGTTAGACTCCCCCACATACCTCCAGAATTGCCTCAATTATTTTCGCAATCCAATGCAGTGCATCCATCTTGATTACAAATATCAGTTGAGTAGTTGAGAAGTTAGCAATTATTTAGCTGCTGCTGGAGCTGCAGCCAATCTCATCATTGCACCAAAACAGACAGTGAGTAACTAAGGAGCTTCCAGCCTCTTTAGAAGCTACCACCCATGCTTTGCCTTGCACAACATAAAAACAGTCGATTCTGTGGCTTTTCTGCAGCTTCTAAAGAAGATTTATGAGATGCTCACATCGTGTGACACTTGACTATTTTTTTAAACGCTTCCAGCACCCTGTCACCCTATAACGAGAGTCAATTTACACCTTCAGAAATGCAAAATAAAAACGTGCAAATCAATTACCTGATCTTATCGCACTTTCTACCTCCTCTCCATCTCACAGAGACGTGAAAAGCACAACACCACAAATCACCCTTGTTCCTCCTTCAGTGTAACATATTGTGATGCCGACATGTTTGTTTTTCTTACTGCAAAACTTTGTCACACTGTTTATGCCACAGTGAAAACAGCCGTGTGGCTAATATTAGCTGCACTTTAATCCCCCGCAAGCTGTTGCTTGGTCACTGCTCGTTTTCTGAGTCAGGAACAAAGCTAATGTCAGTAAATACACAGAGATATAAAATAGAGATCGCCGACAACGTGACAGCACCAGATCCAAAACATTATAATAAGCTATTTATCCTCCTTCTGTGATGGGCCTCTTTATCTGCTGCCCTCAGCACCATATGGCTGCAGTGCAGGAATAGAGAAAGATAAGTCAGAGAATACATGACGTTCCTAAAAACCCATATGTGTCGTAAAGTGAGAAAACGCACATTAAACTGTCAACACTGAGAGGACTTAAATCATGAAGTTTTGGATTAAGCACTGTGGAGACACATGTGCCCATCCAAATACTAAACCACCAACTGACAGACAAAAATACAGTGTATTACAGATTTTCAATACAGCCATCATGAAAGATTATCAATAAAAAACAAAAAAAATGTTGCCTTCACTTCAGCTACGGCTCAATACATAAATTAACCACCAAGCATAATATGTATATTTTCTAAATGCTAAACAGCTGCAGTGATGACAGATTGTTGGGGAAGTTGTTTCTCTGTGTGAAAGCAACAAAACACCAAAGCACATCACTAATGATATCATTCTCCATATGGTATAATCATGTCCTTGTGGTTTTACTGCTGCGCTTAAAAAGTGCTGAGGATGGGGAAACCTTCAGGTATTATATTTTCACTGCAACATTCCAAAAGGAAGCAGAGCTTACCTTTTCAGTCCACTGAAAAAGCTGGTCATCTGCGATGTAGCAAAACACTTGGCATATCAAAACCTTAGAGGGAAAGTAATGGAAGAGATGTTTTATGATAGTAAAATGATCAGAAATCGAACAGAAACTCCAAGTCAAACTAAGTGGTCCTGCGGTTTAGATTTGGTTTTTTTTGTTCTCTAGCTAATATTTAGTTACAGTTTTTACAGCCTTGGCTCCCTGTTCCACAAAACAGTTGTGAAGTCAAACATGAAAAAAGATTTTAAAAACTTCTTAAACAGAACTACTGGCCAAATAACATTAAAAATATCACAGCTCGGACTCGGACTCTAACCCTAAATGGAGACACAATATTATAATCTAGGCACTAAAAGATGTAGGCGTTTGAGAGTGTATGTATAGATATGTGTGTGTGTGTGTGTGTGACATCAAGTTTAGACCAGGGCTTTTAATTTGCAATTATAGCACCTCCTGCAGGGAACAGAGGGAGAGCTGCACGCTCTTTGTTCATTAACACTTAACTAAACCCTCTGAATATTCAACCTTTAAAGACAGATGCCCATTTGTATTTGCAATCTCTTATTTGTAAGCAATTTAAATTCAAAGATTTAAATACCCTTTTTCTTCACAATATTGTGTTTCAGGGGTGAACACAAACACTTGGACTTTGCTGGATCTCCAAAATGTCTAACCATCTTACTATTATACTATTTATATATTTAGTTTTTATTTTAATCAATTAATAAAAATTCTACTGGTATCGTTATGGTAAATCACAGATTTGATCATAATTAGCATTATTCTCCACACACACAGATGCTCTGTCCAGTTGGCTATAATTGCTGACTCCAGGTCATTCCCACTCTTCTCTTTTAGTGTACATTTTCAACTCTCCAATAAGAGGTCCAATAAGAGCAAACAAATACTCACAAAAATGTGAGTAAATTCCCCAGATATCTTCAGATTAATTTGTGATTTCTTTTCTCACAGTATCGGTTGTGCACAGCTGCTTTACAAGGTGAGTGAGGCTTCGCCTCGTGCTCATTAAATCTCTGCAACCACGTGAAGGCAGCAGGCGTAAAAGTGTGTGATAAATCTGAAGCTTTCTCAGCAGCACGCTGCCATCACACACGGCTGCCGACTATGTTTATCTTGATTAAAACACACACACCTGTGAACATGTGAAAACGACCTGGTTATAAATCTGAACAGTGGGCTGCCGCGGCTCATTAATCCCTCGTGTCATGGCCTACTTTCAAACTTTTATAACATAAGCGGGGCTTCATGTTTTATTCTTGTTAAGACTTTATGATGTAAATGACAGTGCAGTTAGATGTGATGAAAAACATAAATCTAGACGGAGATCTGAAATTATAGAAGTGTGACGGAGGCTGTCATTCAAATTGCTTTTATATTTTTTTTAGCTGTAGTTCTGCAGCCATGATATTATTCCCTCAGCTTTGGTTTGTTGCCAAATTATTAACCCATTAAGGTTAAGTTCCTCTTAATACAAGTCTATGACCAGGGAAAAAACTGAATACTCAACAGAATTATTATTAAAATCACAAACACTGAACTGACGTTCTTAGCTTCTTAGTACAGTGAGGCACTCACAGAAGGATCGTCTTTGTTTCTGTGAAAAACACACGCTGACTCTTTGCTGCTCTGACCAGTTGAAGCCTTTGTCCTCTCGTTCCACACTGACACATGACCCACGGTTTCCCAGGATGAAGAGGTGAGAACGTACACTGACAGAAAGCCTGAAGAGAAAGATCACATTATATTTCCACAACAGATGGCAAACTCCTTGTTTAATTTGTGTGAATCGCAGATAAACAAACTCCTTGTTTAATTTGTGTGAATCATCTGTTGTCTCTGATATTATTCAACATTTTGCAGATGATTAACACTTGTTTTTTTGCTAATGATAACAGATAACTATTTAAATAATTAGCCAACCAGCAGATAATTGGTAGTCAATAAACTAGACTGAAGGCTTAACGCTGTTTTTACTCAGCTTAACATCACGTTTAGAGTGAAATACATCTACTTTGACCACTAAAGAACAAACTGGTACATTAGAAATACAACCAAAGGACTTTTTTTAAAGCTTGCAGTTTTGCAATCATCTGGCATTTATCAGGTGTGTGGTCCACTGAATGATAACTTAAAACCTTGCCACAAAATCATCTGCCTTTATGATACACTAATTTCTATGGACTCTTATATAAATTTACTCCAAAGTAATAATTATATCGTCAAGGCATTTTGTTCCAACTTCCAATTAAAGTTCCAGTCACACTCTGTAGAAGATGAATGAATAAATAATTAATTTAGGTATTGCTGGATCTGTAATATTACTGTGTACTGTGTATTACTGTAGTGTGCTGGTTAGGAGCATGCATCACAGGTGAGGTGATTTAAAAGAGTTACTTACTGGCAGCATTGTGTCCCACAGCAAGAATGAAATCGGAACACTGCAACTTGTTTCCAGACTGCAGTGATTCAGACACTTCCGAGTTCCAGTGCAAATGAACTTCCCTGATGAAAAGCAACTCGTATTAGGATAAATCACTGTGTATGTGAAAATGTCAAGAACAATTAGCTTAGCATGTTTTTTTTAATAGAGGGTAAAATAAACATTTTAAAGCCAACAAATAAATGTACGTACTTAATATATTAGCTAAATTAAGTGATTTAGGTCCTGTACTTAACATACCACACTAACTGGATTTATGTTGACCCAAACTTACTATTAACCAATCACACAGCAAGAAGGATTCGTCTACCAACACAGATGTTGTCTTAAGGATGGGCAAGAGCCAGCTCTTCTCAGGAGGCTCAGCTACTTTAATGTCAGCACTAAAACGGTCCAGAGGTTCTGCTACTCTGTAGTGCCACCATTGTAGTACCAGTGCCGCAGTACAAGTTTAACAAAAACCTGGTGTTTGCATAGTGAAACTTAAATTGGCTATGTGGTATTTGACAGTGCCAAATCTGGCCGCGTATCAAATAAGCTGTGATACAGAATCAGCTGCCAAAGCATCAAATGGACCACTGTGTACGTTTGTTTCCGAAACCTTTGCAGTGTTCTTGGATGTACTTCTGGAATTCTGTACTACATTTAATCTGATCGAACACTTGTCATCATGCTAGCAGACTAGCTAATGCTAATTACCTCTTTTCCTCCAACTCTCTGCGAATTTGTTCATCTTCCTCGTCTTCCACTAACTCCTCGCCGTCCTCATCTTCCACTGCCCGAGAAAACACTGACAAAACTTCACCAAAAAATGTGGCCATGACACATACGTTTTTAAAATGAAAAGCGAAAGTTAGGCTAACGCTTCAGACCGTCACTAATGACGTATACTTCAACTTCCGCATACGATGATACCTTCAGAATAAAAGTCTTGAGGTAACGAAAGAAGGTAAGAAAGAAAGAAAGAAAGAAAGAAAGAAAGGAAGGAAGGAAGGAAGGAAGGAAGGAAGGAAGGAAGGAAGAAGCAAATAAAGAAATACAAATATCACACAATTAAAAAAAAGACAATGACAATGTGACAGATTTACCATAAAATACATATCAATAAAAAAATGATCCGACATTGCAGGTAAGAATCCTGCGTAAATACAGAGTTAAATTATTAGTTTCTCTTCATTCTCCCTTTGGGAAGCATACATCTAAATTTGATTGCATGTATACAGCATTTGCTGCATATTTCCACCTGAGCTGTTCCTAAATCAATTAATGATTAAAGGCTCTGGCTCAGCAGATGATTCAGCATGCACTGGTAGGCAATACATTAGAACTTAGATATGTGTGACCAGGAATTCAGGACAGCTTACTATGTTATTTTTGGCCCTGTGTCAATCACAGTTGAAGCTGATATACCAGACAACTACACAAACCTCCTACTGGTCATACATAATTAACATGAGTGAAACCAAGATGGAAAACACAGGTTCTGGAGCTGGAGTGTCTCCAGTTAGCCGGAAACAAAAGTCAACTCATGTTAGGGCAAATTGGCTTCAAGTTAACTGCAGAACATCCATCCTTTCCCTTGTGTTTCATAATTCATTTTCCTGTAAGCTGTGCCCTACGAGATGAGGGACAAACGAAATGTGATGACATCAGCACGGCCATAAACATACTTCATTGTCACCAGGAAATGCCTGGTGTTGGAGAGACAAATTGGATTGCAGGGCAAAGCCTGGAGTGGAATAGAAAGTAAGCTCTATTACCCGTGCAGTGCAGTAATGTAGCAGGAGGCCATAAAGTAACAACAGAAAGGTTTCCTGTCACAAAATGGAGAAACATACTAGGAGGAAGCTTCAGGCTCCTGTTAATATAATTGATAGTAGAGAGAGGGAGAGAAAGAGGGCAGGGCAAAGCCTCTGGGCTCAAGACAAACAGAGAGGAACGACAGCAGCAGGACAAACTTGGAATGCCATCACAGCAGTGACCATTAAAACGGAACATGACAAGACGATCTTGTGGGTTTGTTTTTGTTTTTGTTTTTTTCCAGCGTTTCACCTCTTTCGTCTCTACAGTAACAAGGTCGAAAATACAGTGAAAATAATTTGCTCCATCTGTCTGTCTGCCCTACACTTTAGTCATAAGCAGCAGCTCACTCCCAGGCTGCCATGCTGCTTGGCACAGACATGCAATGACAATTTAATGGGCAGCATTACAAAGACAAAAAGGCATATCTTGTACTATCATATGATTTACTGCACACTCACACACTCACATTCTATCAAATTAGGGAATTCAAGGGCAGAGAAAAGCAATTTGTGGATCAAGCTTTTAAACCAGAGAGCAGCCAGAGCTTTTCCTTTGAATTAAAGAATGTTTGACTTAACAAAGCTTAATGTAAATGAAGGAATAGGAAAAATAAAATTAACATATTTCCCAAACATTGATTACTTAGTACATGTACATGAATTGAACAGTGTGTAGAGCGAGCACATAAAATTCCATATCAGCATAATTAAAGTGTTGAAAGATCCATAGCAGACTTACTATGACAGTATTTTAAAATTTCAAAAAAGCCAAATAATAGCTGGTAACAGGTAATAAGTGGGGCAGGAGACATATTAAAATGTCAGTTAGTCAAATATAAATGTACCCAAAATAGCTCACTAGGAGAAAGTCAAAAAGGAATGTAGAAGAATAAATTAATCACCACAAGCTAGCCACAAATTAGTTAATCATTAAAAACAATAAGAACTTGATTGACATCACATTGCTTTGGTGATCAAACCCATCTGTAAGGCAGGTGTGAACACTTTTACACTATGGAGACAAAAAAGTGGAGATGCTGGGGATTGAACCCAGGACCTCATACATGCGAAGCACACGCTCTACCACTGAGCTACATCCCCATGAAAACAACTATAAATTGATACTGTTTATTTTAGAATTTGTTTTACGTGATTAAAAATTATAGAGAGTGCTGAACATTGGGGGAAAAAAGCCTAGGGTTAGCTTAGAAGGTAAAAGTCAGTCAAAGTTCAGCTAAAAGTAAACTAAAACAATATTAACTATGAAAACTTTAATAGTGCCCCGGAGATCCAGGATATTTTACAGCTGCGACCCTGATGCAAACACAAATACTGCAATATTTTTGGAGTCTCAATGTTTTCACAAATGTGCACGGTGTTAAGACCAAGCCTTACAAACATCTGATTTCTCCTTCGTGGTTGCATGAGCCTTTTTCATGCACACCTACATGCATGAACCCATTTAATCAGACCACCTCCAAACAGTTACATTTAGCCGGGGGGAGATGTGCCCTCCACCTCAGATGCATGACAGTGGATTGTGGGAGGAAAGTGGAGTGCCTGGATGAATCCCACGCAGACACAGAGTGAACATGCAAACCCCACATGGAGGAGGATCAGTTGCTTAGGAACAGCATTGTTCCTCAACTATCACTGTGTGATCACTTCAGAGTAAGGTGTGGGTTTTATTCATACCAGCTTGTGTGTATAATGGAAAAGGGCTCTGACAATGCTCGTAGGTGCCTTGAGGTGGGAGGCAAGGTTTAAAATGCTGATGATGTGTCATCCACCAGCGGAGAAAGCCATAAATATAATGTCAGGGAGGACAATGTGAAGATTTGGATGCTTATAGAAATGTGAGGTTATATGGTGTAGCAGTCAAACCCACTTAATGCATGTTTTCCTGGTGACAACAATGGAAATTCACTTTTGAAAATGAATTCATTACTTTTTAACTATGTTCATTTTTTACTGTGGTATGCTAATGTAAAAAAAATCTTGGTAGATGAAAGCAGAAGACTGGATGTGTGTGCACAAGAATCTGATGATGAAAAGAAAGAAAAACCAATACCAGAAAAAACTAGAGCGAGAGAAAGCAGGTCAGGCTGAATTCCAGTCAGTGAACATCTGCTTATTATTCAACTTTTTTTCTATGAGCTTAAAAACAACAAATTGAATTAATTTCCCCCCGGCTGGCATCGAGTGGGGACTTGGGTTTTAAACCTGTCAATCAATCGGGGCAATTATTACCTCAAAAGTGTAGGTTCCAAAATGATGAAGAAGGACCCGTGCGTGTTCTTAGTATTTCGATCATGACCCAGTTTTTAAAGCACGCAGTTTTCTTTCAAAAATAGTCCAGTTATTCATGACATTATATTAATGCAGTGGGTAATGTGGTCTAAATAAGAACTCCATTATAGCACCTCAGCCACCATTTGAACAGACTTCTTCTAATGGCAGGAGATTTTACATTAGTTGACATCCCAAATTAAAAAAAACATGAAAGGAAAGCTGATGTTGCTGCATCAGTAAAAAAAACAAAAAACAACAGATATTTAAGCTTATTTTACCATATTTCTGTAACCTGCAAAATGTATCCTTGAGGCCCGTTTCTGGCTCTTAACCCACTGTTTGAAAAGCACTACACTTGAACTAGTTTCAAATCAGAGCTAGAAAACACTTAGAGATATAAACGTCATTTTTTAATCCTATTAAAAAATGTTCTGTTACAAAACTGTAATGAACACTGCGATGATTGTAGAAAGTTATCCTGTTCAAACTTGCCTCGAAGAGGAATGTATGGAAAAGTACGTGCAAGGCCTTTGTGTATCATCATAACCTTCACGTTCTCTCCACTGTCATTATCTGTGCTCCCACCACAGTCCACTAAAGCCAGAGTAATTACTGTAATGTGAAAAAAAAACTCTAAATGGAAAACATCTTTCATTTTCAAGATGACCTTCCTTTAAAGGTAACTCCAACCAGGAAGCTGTAATGTGTCTGTGTGAGACTTCATTTAGAATGCAAAAATGTCCTCATAATAAATGCACACTTTCTGTCACACGCTGATGCCTGGGGACAGAGAAATCATTAAGCAAAAAGAAAAGTCAATTTGTGGGAGATATTTCCTCCCTCTTTGTGTGGACAACAGCCTCATTCTTCCCTCCCTGAAGCCATTTCTGCAGCACACAAGACCAAGTTGGTCATTGTCTGTGTCTGTGTGTGTGTGTGTGTGTGTGTGTGTGCGTGTGTATGCGCCCGTGGCTGTGTATGTGTCCGCGTGCAGGTGCGTTGGTGTGTGCGTGCGTGCACGAGTGCAATGCATGGTAAAACCTGCTTTGGTGTAATTTGTTATAAATTCTGCTGACAGGGACTGGGAATGAGAGTAGTAGTGAGTGTGTGGAAAGAATATCAAGAGGATTTGCTCCTGCCTGGCGACGGCCTGCAGCTTTAAAGATATCAGCTCCTTCATATGAAGATGCAGTCACACACACACACACACACACAGTGTCAAAATGACCTCAAAATCCTGATTTTCATTTTCCTCTTCACTAAGTATATGTGCACACACACACACACCTCAAGACACTGAATGGAACATAATTACAACGCTTAGCGTCATAAACCTGTTCTTGTTACTGTTAATAATTCTGATAAACACAGGCTGGAGACACGTCGGCTCAGTAATGGGCAGAAATGATGAAGAGAGTCATTACACAGTAGAAAAACGAACCTTCAGCCACAGTGTGTTATGTATCTACTAATCATCTAAGCTGGTTCAATTACTTCCTCTTGGAAAATACATAATTATTATTTTTTTACTTTGATTCTACTTTCAGACACAATTATCTCAAGACAATAAACATCCCACTGTTTCTGTGTCATGTGACTCTAAGTTTGGGTTGAAGCTTCCTGATTGGTTCCTCCTTATCCTGATCCTGATCTCCAGCTTTCAGCTACTGTAAACCAGTCACTTTTACCCAGAAATGGAATGTACACAGTGCAGAGGTGTGATAATGTACTCTCAGTACAACAGAGTTTTAATTCTGTTTACAGATGTAGGACGGAGATTAGCAAACACAGTGCAATACAACCTTCCATCTAAAATTAGTCTGTAATTATCATGTTGGGACTTTTAATGAGCCTGTTAATTGTAAAGTTAACCTCTGCAAAATTGCCCAGCTACTCTTTGTAGCACACAAAAAGTCTAGGGTGTTTAAGTGTGAGCGAATATTTAACATAGATCATTTTGTCACAGTTATTTGTTTAAATCCTTTGCACACGTGAGAAAGTGGAAAAAGCAGCCAGGGCAAAAAAAGAAAAGAAATTATCCAAAACAAAAGCCAAATGATAAGAGATAATAAAAACAGAAAAAAAAATGGAAATATGGCATCTACTTGAAAAACACAGAGATGTTTTTAATGTATTACAAAAAAGTGGAAAACATAAAACTAACTGCATACATAGAATTAAAAGTAAATCCATGGGAGGTTTTCATTAAAAAAACACACATTTCCATATATGGACAACTTTCCTCTTGATGTTGCTGACTGCAAATGTTGAAGTACTTTACATATCTGAGTCTAAATTTAAATTTACAAGAAAAAAAACAAGCCAGTGACATTGCTCAATTCTATCTGCGCATGTTGTACTCGCTATCAGCTGATAATGATGTTTATCCAATAAATTAAAGCTGTTGGTGCGTCATCACAAAAATGGAAATGATTTTGAAGAAGCCAGAAAAATATTTCACAGGGTTATGAAAGGCCCTGGTAAATATGTTAATATTAATCTGTAAACTGTTAAATCCTTACTCTATGCTCCATCACATCTGGTCCGCAAAGATACAGGAGAGAGCAAACCTCTCTCCCTCTCTCTGAAGGAAAATGCTATTTATATATATATTAGATATAAAAGTGTTACCTTAGCTTGACGACATTTTAGGACTTATTGCGTTTGCAGATTTAGTCCCCGCCCCAGTGATTCCTCCCACGGCTGCAAACCAAAACTGAGAATTCTCATTAAAACTACATTCATTTGTATGTTGTGAAAATTAATCATAGTGACATGTGCTCAGTGACTGGTATCCTTACCACAGTCTAACACAGGGCGGTTTGGCCTGAAAAAAGGGAATTTGTATGAATTTTAAATTGAATGGTGTAATGGCTCTCCGTTTAACATCCCTCAAACATATGCCACGCTTTAAACTGTGCTTGAATAGTTGTATAAATCTTTCAGTATGCACTCACCTACAGTTAGTTTATCACCCAAGGACCAGCACTTCTTCCAAGGCCATTCATTTTTCATGGAGCCCTGCTGGTGATGGAGCATGTCCACGTAAGACCAGAGAATTACTGTGAGAATCTCAGGCGCTTTCACTGTGAATTTAAAGCAGTGCAGGGACCTTTATCTGATTGAACGCTTTTTGAATATTTGTTGTAATTGCAACTATCATTCATGAAAATGATGAATGATAGTAAAATAATGCAGGGATGGCTGACATCTGCTTTTGTCTCTAAAATAATGCAAGGATGGCTGACATCTGCTTTTGTCTCTACTGTACAAGATAATGTTGTGAGGCCGGTTTATCAGAACAATGAGTCTCTGTTTAAAAAGGTCAGTGCTGGATCTCCCTGTAAGACAATGGTGTGTCACTGTAGAAATGCAGATGTTCCCTCATCCCCGTCTGACAACTCCTGCTGTGATTTACCATCACACATAACTTAACGGATCTCATCAGGTTAATTAAAATTTTAAGCAAAGTTGTAGGACAATGTTGAAAATGTCTATTGCAGTAAAAAATAAAAAAGCAGTTCTTAGATGATTTATGAGCGTTGTAAAGTAGGACATAAAAATATTTAATGCAAAACTAGAGGATGCGAGTGATTGGCTGAGACTGAAGCAGACGAGGCGCTGTAAAAAAAAAATCTTAAAGGGAGCAGCAGAAAAGACGTACCAGGGAACAAGGGAGGTAAAGTATATTTCACAGAAAGGTTTGCGATCTTTAAATGTCCTTTAATAGAACATTATGTCAATTTTTTTTGCCATGTAATTAGAGATTTTTTTTTCGTTATTGCCCCCTAGGGGCCAAAATGGAGCTTTAATCCAGTGCGCTAAAGAACCATGATACTATTGTATGTTTGTAGGAGTGCTCTTTGGTTGTCAGTGTCCTGCACTGTAGCTTGGAATGCTGTAGCAGCAAGCTAAAAACAGCTGGCACCCACAAAACCAACAAACATCAATAAGAAGAAGCCTGGCTCTGTCCACGAGGTGAGATGGGCAACTTGATTCTCTCGCCTGACAGCGGCCATCTATCTGTTTCAAAATAAAAAATGTCTCAGTGGTTCCTTTATTGGACGTGTATTTTAATTTGATTTTCTCCAGACAGTCCAACCAGGATGACATGGATGCGATGAGTTTGTCTCCCTGCTCTGCATTAAAGGGGCAGTGCTTAACATCGAGACCAATGCAAGTTAAAAAGACGGCGGTGGAATACATCTGGACATAACTTACTTTGTATTCTGTACTTTAACAGCGTTTAAATCTGTTGCGATGACATTTATTTGCTACATAAAGGAAGCAATTGGTGAGACAAGATAATAGCTTTCTTCTTCCTGAGCCTTTGACCTTGTAGTTTCAGTAGTTTCAGTACAAGACCTACAAAGCAAAACATTTATAAATAAATAAAGAATGATGGGCGAGATAGGGATCTGCCACTTTCACCTGGTGTCCAATATATGCATTCAGTTCCCTCAGCACACTTCCACAGCCTCTCTAACTCTATATATCAACTGCTTAACCTTAGCTGTCCCTGTGATATCATTCTTTCTAATTCTGGCCTTCCTTAATCACTTCCAATGAAAATGTCATCATCTTCAGCTCAGCCACCTCCACCTCAGCTTCCCGTCACAGTCCAGGTCACATAATAACATGTCAACTCTGCCAATCAAACCACCAAACTTCACAGGCTGTATGGCAGCTAAACATTTGCTCCAAAGTTGTACAATGTAAAAGATCACAGGAAAAAAAGGCACTGAATTAATAATCCAATTGACATCACGTTACCACTTTATTTTTCAATGGGAATCCATTACATAATCACAGCTGCTCAGAGGACACGATCAGACACTGGAAAAGTTTTCACATGCAAATGGAAAAGTGCTGTCAGCAGCTTCAAAGCCTCGGTGGGTCAGGGTATGTCCTCGTTGTAGAAACAGCTCTCCCACTGTATTCTGTATCCTTCAAGCACACTTCTATTTTTGGAGCAGATGTCACTGCCTGCTGTCAGGGAGGAGCTGGAGTTCACCGTGGTGCTGATCCAAATTACAGGGTTTCAAACTTATTTCAAGTGATTTTGTCTGTGAAAGAGCCCGTCTCTACAGCAAATGTGAAAAGCCACAGGGCACAGTGTTGGAGCATGTTGTAGAGCCTTTGACTAATGACTATTTTTGAGTGGTGTCTCGTGGAGAAAGATCTGCTTTCAGACATGTTTGACAGTGTACAGCGTCATAGTACTGTAGGAACTCTGCGCTACAATCAGCCACACTGGCACAATGGTGGCTTAATGGCGTAATGTTAAATCCCTTGCTGTCCGACCTGAAAGTATAATTTAATTATGTGTTGAATTGGGCTTATTCAGAACCGACAGCACTCGGTGCATGAAACAGGGCATCATCGCTGCGTGCATAGCACCCCCTGCAGGGAAGAGGGAGGACTCAGCTTATAAATGGTGTACGTGAGAATTGTAGCACACCTTTCCTGTAACACAGTTATTGGACCTACCACACGTTGTAATGGCACTAAAGCTGTTGTGTGTTTTGACTAAGATGTGAACAGATTATTAAAGGTGTAAAAACGTGTGTGTTTGCAGCAATGACTGGCCACACCCTCTGAAAAAACAATGGTTTTGGATCAGATGTGAAAATAACAACTGTATCCTACCTCTGATTTTATTCACGGTTGGGATTTGGCTAGAACTAATGAGAATTCGTTGTCATTAGAAGGCAACACAAGCACTGTGGTGTGGGTGTTACAGAGACTACGTTTAAAGAAGAAGAAGAGGGAGGAAAACCCATCCCTGCCAGCTGACTGGTGGGATATACTGGACCTTTAATGCAGCTGCAGCTGATTCATTCAGATGCTGAGTGGAGCGGCAGATGACCGGAGGAGGAGAAACGGCAGGAGGACGCACAGCTCTATTCTAATCTCATTTCCAAACCTACTTGGATGCACACTGAGACATCTTTCTCCCCACCCTCCTCCACCCTGAAAGAATTTAGCGGAGGAGAGCGCTGTCCTGGATGCAGACTGAGCGGATTGCCGCAGCCAAAGCGTCCAGGGTGAACGGAGATCCGAAGCAGCAGCAGCAGCAGCAGCAGCATCCGGAGAAGCAGCATCACAGGATTTGAAATAACGTCACTACGATCCCATTTTTACATTTACACTCATCAGCTCTCCACTCACGGACTCTTTCATCAGGTAAGAATACACCGATTTATTATTATTGATTTTTTTTTTTTTTTTTCATTTAGGGAATTGTGTATTTGCAATAGGTGGATCAAACGTAGACGTGATCCTGTGCGTAAAGCGGAGATTCTGGTCCTAAAAGGCTGCTGCGTGGATCTGATTCTAGAAGAGGGTGCATCCCTTTTGTATGGCCTCCACATTCCATTGATGTAGCCCATTGTTTTGAGTGCCTTATTTTTTCTTTTTAATAATAAATTGATCAACACCATCTGATGCAATAATGGATTAAGGCTGTGTTTTGTGGGTCTGTCTGAGCACATAAGAAAACAGTGCGCATTTTCTATATGAAAATATCACAGACTGATCCTCAGCTGTTTAAGTGGCAGTTAATGAAGGGTTCTGTGTGGGCGTGTTCCTGATGCTTCTGGGTATCACTCTTCTTCTTGCAGGTAACCACATGCGCGGGCCGGTGTCTCCGCGCTGAGACCAGAGAGAGAGAGAGCACGACAAAGAGTGGGCGAGAGAGAGAAACAGGAGAGAGGGAGTGTCCAGGAAAAGTGGACCGGATGACGGCCAAAACCTCCGAGGCCTCGCGGCTCCCGGTGCCGCTGCACCGCTGCCACGGGGCCCTCCACGGTGCCAACAACGGCACCTGCGTGGAGCAGCTCAGCATCTTCCCGCCCTTCTCGTCCACGCTCGCCCTCCTGGTGCTGGTGGTCGTGCTCGTGGGTATCGTGCTCGTGTCCCTGGCCACGTTCCATTTCCACAAGCGGAAGCTCCGGAACAGGAAGATCCAGCGCGCGCAGGAGGAATACGAACGCGACAGCCGCAGCCCAGCGCGCGCCGGCGCGAGCCTTGAGCCGGTAAGGCCGTGCGTCATCATCAGGCCGGTGAGATGTGAAGAAAAGGTCGCTGGACCGAGTGGTGACATCACGGAGGTCAAAGAGCCGCTGCACGAGGAGGTTCCGTTGGACTGTTAACTTCAAAACGCAAAACTTCAGGGAACGAGACTGTGGATCTAATGGGAAAAGCAATAAGGCACAAAGAACTCCCTCTCACACCTCTGCTGCTTTTAGACCACTGTAGGAGCAGCAACAAAAAAAGTTACATAAATGCAGAATACTGAGCAAAATAGGAGAATAGAGTAGGAGTGACACTACTGTTATTCTACAGTGAACAGACGGTGACAAATTAGAGGAAAACCAACAGAAGCGAGGGTTAAGCTGTATGGTTGATTACGTAGTTACCACGATGAACTAGATACTAGATGACACCAACTGAGTGACAGCTTCATTCAAATCTGTAGAGAAAAACTGGAAATTCCCCCATGTTTTCATCATCAACAAACAGCTAGGTCCTTGAACAGCAGGAAAATATGAATAAATATTGTGTAAAATCGGGGCTCACCTCAACATTCCATCATAGGGTCATTAAGAGAAAATCATCAATCATTCTCACTCGCAGAGCACGTTGACATTCCATCATAGGGTCATTAACAGAAAATCATCAATCATTCTCACTCGCAGTTAAACCTGTGGTTGTTTAAGTGGCTTTATTTCACCCAATCCCTGCACGTTCTGTGTACTCTGGGAGGAAGGAGTACCAAAAGAGGACCCAACACCAACCTAAGCCAGGATATGAACTGCTGACTCTCTTGCTGTGAGGCAACAGTGTTTACCGACACAACACTGAGCAGCTCAAACCTAAGAAAATTGGAAGCAAGCAACTCTAGGCAGTGGCAGTACTGATTTCATTTAACATTCAAGGACAAACAGCGTATAGCTCTTTATCATCAAGGACAATACATGAGTGTATTAACATTTCATTATACACAGGTGAATCTACACCGAAGGATCAGTGGTTCACAGACATCTACGCATATGAGCAGGTGGGAACCTGCATATGAGAAGAACATTAAAAACAATAATACGAAGTTGTTCCAAGAATTTAACACACTCACTCCTCAGATATTATTCTCACCTTCCTACCTTTCCAATTTCTAAGTCGCTGGGCAACAGCCCACAGAGGTTCCTGAGCCAAATACTATGTGATGGAACAACACCTAATCATTCCTTATCCAATAAGGACTGCCACATACCTAAACCTCCCTCATCCCCTCAGTTCCAGGCTCCAAAAGGTGTCCCTGCCAGATGTCCGTACAATCTCATTTAGTCCAATTGTCCAATTGTTATTGTGGCACCAGTGGTTCTACTTTGACCCTTTCCCAGGAAGTTCAAACCCCTCACTCTTCCTCTTCCTGCAAAGATCAATATCAATAAAACACTAAGCATCTTGGAACACTTGATACAGTACGTGCAGATACCAGATCTCAACTCAACTCTTCGACATCAACTGGAAATAACTCATGCACCGTTAGAAGACTTGCTCCACCATCACAGCCGACATCAAAAAACCCAAACGCGGGAACTCATTGTTGGACGGACAATGTCCAGCTCTCTTCCAGAGACTTATCAATGCCGTGACCCCGGCACCTTATTACTTGTGGCTTCCCTTTAATTTGTCACTGATCTGCTGATAAGCTTTGTGGTCACACCTCTTCCTCTTATACTAGTATTATCCCAATGGTAAGTCTTCATTAGACTGTGTAAAGTATTTGCCTGCTTTGACTTTTGGATCTCCTTTTCCTTACAAGCCTAAATCTGTTTAAATCTCAGAGATGTTTAAACATTGACTCCTCCCTGGGACGTGACCCGCTCTTGTGTTAAATAGTTAAGAGTTGATGACACAATACAGAGCAGAATGGCTCACTGATCTGCCTTGGCATGTCCTCTGACACACTACCAGTATGTAGTTAGACTATAGTGGATGTTGTGGTGCTGTTAGCAGTGAACGCTGCACATAGGCTACAGAAATAGCGTATTTGTTTTTTGTAGTATTTTAACTTCAATTAAGTGACTTAGCATATTTGCATAAAGTACTGTCCTCCGATGTCTGTTAGACATATGTAGGTAGCTCTAGTTAGCCAGGATGCAAGACGTTTTGTTTTGTTTTTGGGTTTTTTTTGCCGTAGTTATGCACATTAGATAATTTTTTTTTCCTGTCAGGTAGTACATTTTTTGCACCAATAAGGTATTTTATGTTTTGAGTATTTTCAATGTATTCTCTGACATGTAATAAATTAAAAGTCCTTCCAGTGGAGGTTTCCATTTGAAACCTAACATTTTTTTTCATCTATTCATATTGCATCATAGTGGGCCTAATAGAAATTCTGTGTCATTAACTATATGGATTCACTGTAAATGTATGCCATCATGAGAGCTGGAATGTTTTAAAGTAACACCATCTTTCTGGACTTCATATAATCTGCCTTATCAAAGGAAAATATGTAATATTTAAAGTTTATAAATAAATACCTACATTATGTTACATTTTGAACGTGTCAGACGCTTCAGTATGAGTAGAAAGTTTTATGTGGACACCAAATTTGAGCGCAAAACCGGAATGTATTTACTGCTAACATTTCCCCCTACGCTTCTCATAAATTACTATTTATTGGCGACATTTAATATTATTGAAAAGACATGAATTGATGATTCAATTCATCAGCCAAAAATAAGAACAAATGACCTTATCAGTGATGATCAGTTATAACCCAGGACCATTTCATTACATTAACAAGACACTATAATATACAGCCATCTATATTCTTGTAAAATAAACTCCACTATATATAAACCCCCTGTCTTGTCTACTGCTGTGACAATACACATTAACCAAACTATCAAGGTTATCCATAGGTTTTTTGTCTTCTTCTTTGACCGTGAGAACATTATTCTTAGTTTCTGTAGCTGTCCTGTGATGGCGCTGTAGTGTGCCTTATTAGAGGTCAGTGAAAGTGAATCAGCATCAGTCAGTGTGCTGGCCTGCTACCAGACGCCTTTGTTTTTAATTGTCCCCAAGCAAACAAAAAAAAATGCTTGGGGATATGAAGCAGTCTTTGGAAAGATTCCAGTTCCGGGAGGTGCTCTGACAGACCGTCTGTCTATCTTATCTCATTGGCATAAGTGGAACCGAATGAAACCATTTATCTCTGCGGGGATATTGGAAGCAGGTCAATAAAAATGACTAATGCATTCTACATCCAAGCATGTGTTGAATTCAGGACAATTTATACACTACAATGCTTGATACCAAGCATGTTAACGTGACATATGTACAGTACACGGTACAATGTACTGCAGTGGTAATGCGACACGATCTTTATACAGTTAAATTGTATTTGTTTGTGTTGATTATTCAAACATCCCCTTTCCAATTCATCGCAATTCAGGATGAAATTGGCTGGCTGTCAGTGGGAAGTAATGGATGTGAGCGACTGGAAAGATGGGGGAGTTAGGGAAAAGATGGATGGGTAATGGCATGTCACCCAGACGGCTAGATGGAGGTCAGATGCTTTCAATTGGTGACCTCACTGGCCTGGATGGGGATTCACATCAATGAATGACAGAGGATAGGAATTAGTCAAGATAAGTGGCCATGAATGGATCTCAAAATAAATGGGGGTTAATAGGTAAGGATGTCATAAAGTCAAATGTGGAGAAACTGATGACGATCAGTGTTAAGAATAAAATGAATGATAGTAACTAGAAACAGCTAAAGTGGATGAAGGTCACAGGTGGTCAGTCATTAGGAACGGCCACTCAATGAGAGTCGATGACTGAGGACGAAGAAGGTTATTTTCCAGAAGGCTGTGTTTCAATCTGGGGGATGTGTCCTTCAGAGGCAGCATCTAAAGGACAATTGTATAATGGCATGGCTAAGCTGTCCCATTTGAAGGCTCTTTCAGCAGAGTGCATCCGGCTCTCAGCCAACGCTTCCTTGCATTAATTGGAAAAACACTTCTGAACTAAGTAGAAGAATCTCTTTTGGCTGGACCGTTTTCTATGGGTCGTCACAGAGAATAATCCACGTAGTAAATTTAGGCACAACTTTTATTACCTCTGTCCTAATGCAACCAGGTAGAAGGGGGAGAGTTGCTCAAAAGCCCTAAAACAGGGAGGAACCAGGAAGGAGTTTTCTCAAAGCTTGATTCAAGTTTTGGCCTCTTATGAAAAAGACCTGCCCCTCATTCAACCGCTCCCCACCCTTTTATCTTTTAACACAGCAAGCCAGCAACGAAATAGTTACATTGCTAAAAGTGTATTCTGGTGCAGTCTTAGTGGCTCCTGATCTGGGACACGGCTACAAGCAGTAACATGATAGATGTTGAGGGTCACGATGATGGACTAGTCATTATTTTGGGAATTAATGAAGGCTGTTGCCTATTGTCACAGACTCACAGCTGCTTAAAGGGGAGACTTTTGTGATGTCAGATTGCTCTGGGAATTGCCTAGTTACACTTTAGTGTTCAGCCTAATTTAGAATTAACGAGGCCAGTATCAGGGTTTTGTTGTCCCAGGTGGTCAGGTTTTCTTTGCTGCACAAAGACTTTGTATGGGCAGTAGTTGGCCAGGGTTTGGGTTATGTCCTCAGGGACAGGGTTTTAAGCATCAGTGTCTGCACCATAAAAAATAATGTGAACTCACAGTTTTGTAGTGAAGTCCTCTTTGTTCAAAGTCCAAATATGAGTCAGGGTCTTTATAGAAAGGTTTGTGTCCAGTCTGAAGTGAGTTCCTATTGTTTTAAGTCTTGATTCATGTTACTGAAAAAATGCCAAGTCAGAGTGGAGTCCCCGGGGTTTTCGAGAGAAAATCCAGTGAAAGAAAAAAGCCAATGGTTTTCTATTAACAACACATGTAAAAAAAAAAGTTGGGGGCACTCGCCGCCCTCAATTTACAGTGTCACATTAGCCTAATCCTGCATGTTTTTGGATTGTTGGGAGAAAGGTGAAATACTCAGGGACCACATAAACTCCATACAGAACGACCATCGATTACCACCGGGGATTAAACCGGTGATTTCTCTCTGCCTAGCAAGTGCACCAGCCCTACTTTCACCGTCTGGCCTCACTAATCGAAGCTAGTTAAAAAATATTATATTTTCAACTTCATAAGTCACCGTATTAAAAAAAAGTTTTATTCATTTAATTCCTTGGCTCGTCAATTGGTAAGCACCACGTATAACACGCCGTTAACCTGCGAGTCAAGTCAGAGAAACCAATAGTGGACTGGAGTTTGTATCACTTCAGCAAGGACCTCCATGTTTATTCATCAGGCCATTTCTTCGGACAGCTAGGTCATGGTCCTGGACCAGAGCACATTACACTTTAAAGGTGCTTTTCTGGTGGCACTATCAAAATGACTGGACTAACCTTGGCTTTTGAGACATGGTTTGGAATGTCCCAGTAAATCATTTTTTAATCTCATCTGTTGGGGACCTGCAGTATACATAGCCTTTCCCCTGACCTCCCCTCCCCCGGCCTCTCCCCCCCTCTCATTCTGTGTTTCCTGACAATCATTGATTTCCTTTCTTTCCTGCAACGTATGAAGATCAACTTGCGGACATTAGATATTCTCATATGCAGGCGGGTGTGCAGTTAGCCACTCAGTTGCACACAGTCTCCCGTTCAACACACACACATGGATTTGCCTCTTTTGAAGAATGATATGAAGATCATACAGCGTCAGTTTTGTGATAAGAAACATGGGACCGTTTTATAAATTGTTTCTGCAGGAACAGCAGGATAGCGGCGAGGCAGCATTAAACCTGAGCCTTTTTAACCACGGTGGCTCCTACACCGGTTGTTCCTACAAGGCCTGGCAAGTAAATTACCGGCTGCACTAATTAATAGGTTTCCAGTTGCAGTCAATATAAAATTAACACCCTGCCAACGGGCCGGCTAATGTGCCTGCTGTGCAGACTCCGAAGGGCTATTTCTTTTTCACCAAAGGCAACATGGGTAAAGATAAGAAGCTTCAGTGATAAATACTCCATAGTTCACTGCGTTATAGATTGGGCAAATTCACGGGCTGCATTTTAGAGCATGATTGCATAGGAATTGAAATATCTCATAATGTAAAGGGGCTTGAATCAGGCCCCGGTTCAGTTACAGCCTGTGCATATTTATGAGGCTCTGCCCTGGACTTTACAGCCCAGTCTGATTATTCCACTGAGCTGTATTAGCAGATTGGCTCTATGCTCTATATCTCATCTCACTGCTCCCATTCTCGCCCCTGCTGTCACCATCCGAGGTGGATGATTTGTCACCAACGCTGTCTGTTTATATGCTTCATTACAGCAGGTTCAAGCTGTGGCTGTGAGGTTAGCAAGTACCTGAGACACGTACCTGCACTGCTCCACGGGCCGGAGAAAGAATAACAAATCACACTCTGCTGTATCATTTTTCAGCGGGGAAAGCTTTTCTTTTAAACTTGTTGGAGCTGAACATGATCCTTCCTTCCTCCCCTGATTGTTCTGGCCTTGTGGCATTCATCACTTTGACCAGAACCATTACTGACAGAGTTAATCATACACCCCACTGAAAGATACGCCATATTATTTTTTTCTTTAGTGACCTTGTTGATTTAATAGAAATCAAAGGGTCAGTGAAACTTGAGCGGGACCTGAGGCTGGGCTGCAGGAGTCGGAGCGTGACTGAAATAAAACATGGCTTCGCTTTTTTTCCTCAGTATTTTTAGCCATTGCAATTTACTATGTTGTTGACGTGAGAAATACTCATTTGAGTCAGTAGATTATTTTTACCAAGGCTTGTGGATCTTAACAGTTATTAATGGAATTACTACAGATTTTAGGTCAGCTTGAGTTTTCGGACGTTTATTTTTGTAGTTCTTTACTAATGGGGTCACACAGTGTAGAAGTGGTAAGTGCTCTGGCCTTGAAGACCGTCAGCAGTTTGAGCCCTGGGGGTAACTGACAGTCTTTCTGTGTGGAGTTTGTTCTTCCTGCTGGTGTAAGTTTTGATGCAGGGTTAGGCTGATTGGACTGGCTCCAGCACCTTCAGCCCCCCCGCAATCCGAAAAAGGACTCAGCAATAGACTATGAATTAATGTTTATCACAGATCTTTAACGTGAGAGTCCGCCTGGTGAATGAAAATTGAATGTACTTCGTGCACACTTTACACAACAAGAGTTATGTACAGAGCTGCAGTGACTATAGAGGTATTAAGTCACTGAGACACACATTGAAAATACAGAAAAGAGTGGTTTGTCAATTGATGACTCTGATCACCGAGCAGCAGTTTGGTTTCATACCAAGGACGAGTACTACCTTTGTAAATTGTGCTTTAGCAGTACTCTGTACAAAGTATAAGGGAGGCCATAAACAGCTGCACTTAAAAATATATGATGGGATGTTAAGATATTAACTCTGTTAGGCGGGGAGTGGCAAAGAAGTACATGAGAGCGGTACAAAAGGTCCTGCTCAGGTATGTGGTGACAGTGGCTGATTGATTGAGCCTAATTGTATTTGCAATAGTAAAAGACTGACTCTAAGAAGTTTTTGAAAAAATATAAGATTTCTTTGTTGGTCGAGACGCATTTTGCACTACCAAATGTGAGACGCCATAGAAGTGGAGAAGAGGTGTGATCCAGTGTAAGTTCAATATTGAGTTTTATCAGCTGTGCTGTTGATCTCTACAACGTTCTGAGGGAAAACTCTGCTTGTAAAGGTTCTCTTCTGTTCACCAGCATGCCCCCAGCTCTGTGTGCACTGTTTGATGCTGAGCAGGTGGTGTACAGAGGGTTTATCACTGCCTTTTGTCAAAACAGCTGTGTGCTGCTTGTTAACACCACTCAGTAGAGATAAAACTGCAGTTACATGATCATTTTCAGGGAGCTTGTCACAGGAAGTGACTCCTTCCACTGTCAAACAGCTAAGTGATCCAAAACTGTCAACATGAGACGAGCGGTTTTTATTATGTACCGGATGAAATACTTATCTGGGCAGATGTGTCATCATTGTTCACCTTGGTTGGAGAACAAATATAATGCAGTATCACTCTGTACGGTTGACACCCACCACTGAAGGTTCCTCATAAAGAGGGGCTTCAGGATGAGATACCTGATGGATGGGTCCACTGCATGACTTGACATTTCTGTAGATTTATGGCTGCAGGGATTCATGTCCTGTATAGCAATCCATTTGTGGGACACTACATCATACTTGGTGACAGGTGAATTAGAGTTCTTTGAGGCTGTTCACCTTAGTTTACAGCACAAAGCTTGTGACATTTTCTTTAATAACAATGTTATGTAATGGGGACACTGACTCAGAAAGGTGAAATCTGACAGTGATTTTTCACTTTTGCTCCTTTGGTTTCGACGTCCAAATGAATGGGCGTTGGCAGAAACCAACTGCCAATGACATTAAAACTTTTCCATTCATTCAAGGGTAGGAAATTAGTTTTCAAATCTGGATCATGGCCAGGGTTATTTGATCAAAAGTGGCTTCTCTTTGGGAATAAGTCCAAAATTCAACTCTACATTTTTGTATTTTTAACATAATATTATTGGGTATATGTTCATTCAAAATATGTTAATTTATTTCCAAGCTAAAGGCATATTTAATTTTTCTAGGCCTAAGTGTTTGTTTTCTGTCTTTTTTCTGGATGATTTAGTCATAATTATTTATAGCTTTTAGCTAATTTGGTAGTTTTTGCATTTTGTGCAGTTTCCTATTGTAACTACTATCAAGCTAGCTTAACATTTTCTTTCGTTGCAAACATAAACGTAGATTTTTTCTGGGCTACTTGTTATGTCTGTTTATGTCCATATTTATCTGTTTTTTCAGCTTATCTACACTTACACATATGTTTTTAAATAAAATAACTCAGTAAATAAAAATTCAATAAAAGTTTGTTTTTTGCTACATAGACTTAGCTGGACATTTACACTTACACGTTAACAGCCACAATAACAGCCTCCACGGGGTGATATATCACAGCAGTAGCTATTATTCTATGGCATTTTGCCTGAAAGTGCTACTTATCTGTGACCCCAGCCAACATGGATAAAAGAGAGAGTCCGGACAAAACATAATCAAAAAGTTGGGCTGTGTTACACAGGCTTCATCTGCCCTGAACATCTGGTCACTAGTTCGACTCCTGGCTGGATGGATCCTTTACTGCTTGTTTTTCCATTCTGTTTACCGTCTGTCCTCGCTATGATGCAACATAAATGTCACATGTGAGAGGAGTGACAGCAATTCATGATTGTGTGGCTGCATCATCAGTTCTGTGCAAACAGCCAACTGTGTCTGTGCCTGTCTGTGTCTGAGTCACAACGTTCATCCCAGCCACAGAGCTCTTGTTTAATCTGAAAAACAACCACAACTCTCTGCCAGCTGTTATTACAACCATAATGCAGATCAATCCTAAAATGACTGTTCCTTTGGCTGACCAAACCCATTAGATCAAATGTGTATTGATCAGCCATTAAATCCAGAAGCCAAAAGTGTTTGAATATTTAAGGTTCAGAAAAAAAATAGGAAATGAGTCTGCCTTAAATTACATTTTTCTTTTTGAGAGAAGGCAAGGAGAAAAAAAAAGAATTCCTAATCCTAATTTCACTATATAAAATCAAAATAAATAGCTGGACTGAGCTCATGTCCTATGTTCCTTTCTTGGACAGTCTACTTTACATGTGACACAGTTCACAGATAGACACTGGATGGTACTTCATGCACAGACTGCAAAGCTCACCACGGCAGACTGTGATTTCATGAGTTGGTTCCCAAATGTATTCTGCAATGTGTCAACAGCAGATGCACAAATCTTTAGATTCATCAAGAACTATTTTAGTCTCAGGAAAGACACTAAGTCCTGCAGCAGATGGGACGCCCCCCCACTGAGCCTTGATCTTACCAAATGTCTGTCCAGGAATTACATAAAAGGAAAAATATACACTCTTCAAAAAGTATTAAGGGAATAAACTCCACTTTGGTGGATTTTCTTGGAAACCTCTGTGTAAGTGTATTGATGAGAACTGCTGATATTTTTGTGGGTTCGTGTGAAAGCGAGTTCACATTAGTTCTCCATTCTGCCACAGAACTGTACAGTGTGGGCTGTGGTAAGGAGTGACTGGGAGATGCCATTTTCCTCTGGATATTTTTACACCTTATGTGTCTGTTAAAGCTCCACAAAGTTGCTGATTAAACTGTTATGAACAGGAGCAGAGATGTGGTAGATTTCCAGGAAAAGAAACTGATTTATTGTTGTTGAATTTTAGTCAACAGTCACACATTAGAAAAATATGGCAGACATTTACAGGTAAAGATGAGAAGGGGAAAAAAAAGTCTCCATTAGAATAAAAGTGTCCACTTCACATTTGCCCTCCTCTTTTCTTCTGTTTTTTATTCTTCTTTTTCTCCTGCCTGTTCTCCGACTGTATTTTCTTCTTCTTGGCTGGGTTTGGCTGCGTATCTGCTGCGCCGTCGGCAGGTCGTTTGGGCTTTGATTTCTGATCTTGTTTCTTTTTTGCTTGTCCTTTCTTCACCTCCAGTTTGTCTTTGGGCGTCGATTGTTCTGCTGCCGGCTCTAAAACAGGCTTCTGGCGCTTTTTACGCTTCTTTGTTTCCGGCAGAAAGCCTTTCTTCTTCTTCGACTCTGGCTGTTGTTCCACCTCCTTGTCAGACTTTGTCTTTTCAACTTTGGGCTTCCTATAGACGTGAACATAATATACTGAATTAAATAATGAAAACTTTTATTTGATCACATTTTTATGGCTTCACTATAAATGCACTACTTTGACATTCTGTGCAGCGTTAATGGAAAGGGAAGGAAAACGTATTCTACTATAAATCAAATAAACTAAAAAAATGAAACAAACCAGGTCTTTCAGAAAATGATTAACGACCCTAAAGTGATGTGTGATGGAGTTTAATATTGGATCTTACAGTATCTTTAAGGCAGGGCTACAGAAGGACTTCCTGAGGTGCGAATCACACAAGGATCAAAATAGCACATTAGCATTTATTTTCTCAGCTTTGACATCTGCTGAGCGCCAAATTTATTTTAGCTTTTAAGAGTGTGAAGACACAGTACGACAACAAACTCATGATGGAGCATCGACACAACGCTGCTGTTCCTTCTGTCCCTTTGAAAAAAAAAAACCCACAGGGATTACTGTATGTCTATGAGGAATTACTGGGAGATAAATAAACCACAAAACTGACTTACAGACTGGGCACCACCAAAAAATATTAATTAAAAAATCACAACTATAAATGGGTGAAATTTTATAGGTCAGAAACACAGGGACCTCATTCATTTCAATGATGATATTTCGGCAGAACAAAACCATGCGTCTGTAGCGCTCGACTAATTCCGCCGTTCTCCTCCTGAGGATTATAATGGTGCAGTAGACAAACTGCCCATCTACAGACACAGCAAACCAGTGGTAATAACAGACTTTTATCATCTAGACACTGATGCTACAGGATGTGTGTTTACATGCTGCTTTGAAAACAGTTTACTGCCTGGTGTCGGCTGTAATCAGATTTCTGCAGCGTCATGTAAACAAGGCTCCTGCTCTGTGCGGTTACGGCCTGTTGTTATGTCCATTTGTCAATGTCAACCGGTTTCTAATATGCTTTCGTAAAGTGGGACCAACTTCATTACATGCAGTGACATGTCCTCTCCCAGCCTGACCAATTTATTGATTGATGTTTTGTTTTGTTTGTATATTTCCTCACATGACTCCAAAATGTTTCATCACTGCCCAGTAGGTGTCCTCCAGCTTTCCTGTCTTCTTAAACGTGATGGTGCTGGTCAGGCTTTGTAGGACCTGTTGCAGGGGCTCCAGGTCCACAGACAGCTTCTGTGGACAGACAGAAAAATCCACATCAGCAAATCCCTCGACCAAAACAGAATCCTATAATCCTTACACAAAAAAATAGAGTTAGCTGATCAGTGCTGAAGTGGTAGTCGCCCTGCTGGTTTTTAGAAATCTATACGGTTGGAGGTTGGATTCACACTCACTATTGCTAACGTCAATAGTCATTTTCACTGTTTTAGTTAAAGGTTTAAGACATCTATTCATTTCGTACACTCCAATCCCATTAAGAAGCATGTAACTAGAGTATGATGTGAGGTGGTACACACCAGTAACCATAGTGTTATTGATGTTAAAGTGTCCCACAGGAGAGAGACTGCTGATGGTACCAGATAAAATACTGATGAACATGAAACCCTTTCAATAAAGATGTAGCCATTTGGTTTTACAACAAGCCTAAATCAACATTTGAAAAAAAAGCTAGAACAGAAAGACAAATAACAGAAGGTAGATGTTTGTGTTTTTTTGGAACTTTCTTTCAAAATGAAGCCATTGTTCTCAAAAATATCTATCTACAGTCTCTCACTACGCTGGCTGATGTATTGACTGTCATTAGAGAAAAACAGCCTTAATTTTAATTATTGAAAAAAGACCAAACACTCTTCCTTGAAGTTAAAAACCCCTTCATTTTCACATTTACTTTCATCTGCAGTTAACTCGGGGACCAGCGGCTCTCTATCCATTCATCGGGGGCATCGTCAGAATAAGATCTGAACCCACCTGCTGGTGAACATGCTTGACGAAGAACTGACAGAGCTCCAGGACCTTCAGCAGCTTCTCCCTCACCACCTTGTTGTCAGTTTGCTCGGCCTGCTGAAGACTCTGAGGGAATAAAAATTACGACATTATTTACTGCAGGTTTTTGCTTCCATCATTTGTGTTATGAATTGCAATACTTCTTATGACGTTCTCACACATAGAATAGGAAAGTCTCTTTTTATAAAACCCATTTGTATGTTCACGTTGAGTGTTTTTGATTATTTCCAAGCAAAACTTTTGCTGTAAACTGTATTAGTGAATTACCGCAACCCACTCGCTCCTCTAACCATGAACTGTAAAATCGTCAAGAGCTTTATCCAGACCCACAGGGCAGACTTCAGGTCCAGACTGTTCCCGTAATGTTCTCTTTAACTCATCACCGTTCTACTTCAGTTTGTTCCAGTTCTGGAACTCTATTAATAAACCACTCCATATTCTGTGAGCAGACCAGTCAGCCACTGAGCTTTTGGCTTGTTGCCCCAGCAAACAATGCTGTAGGCAAGTGTAGGAGGAGTGTGGGTTGTATGTGCTGCAGATGTCGAGTAGGCCATTTTCTACTAGTGCCTAGTAAGAGTTGACCGGAACGAAGACATCATCTGTCATACACGCTTCCGCAGCAGAAATTGATTTTTTTGTGCGAATTGTGCCTCGAGCTGGCACTTATTTCTAACTCAGTTAAAGACACGGTATATGTTGGAACTGGGAATGATGTGATGGTGTCCATTTATGGACAATATACTGTAGAATGTTGAACTCACCCTCTCAGGCAAAGTTCTGTTGCCAGTATCACTGGAGTGACATAAATCCGTGTCAAACTCGGTGTAGTAACCATTGCTCATACTCAGTGCTAACGTTGAGTAGCGTTGCCTTACCATCGTCAGCTGACCAGCAATCTTGTCACACAGCTCTGTCCACGGTTCGCCGCTAAGAAGCTTCTGAACCTCTCTGCTCTGCATGGCTCGCAGCACTAACACACAGGCCTGGCCCTGAAAACAGGAAACAACTAAAGGTTGGTCGACAAATCTACAACAACAGGGCAACAGAGTACGAGGAAACAGTGGAAAAATACCTCAAAACAGAGAACAGACAGGCCACAGAATTGCAAACATGCGATTTATAATTCAAAATTATGTTGGAGGTGTACAGCGCTACCAAGCAGTGGCGCACTGTGCCACAGTTACCTGAGGTAATGCTTAATGCTTCATTGTTTCATGGTGTATTTGATGTTACTTTACTCTTTCTAACAAACAGGAAGTGAACTACTGAGAGATCTTTACCTGCTGGTGTTCTCTGACTCCAGACGTGATAAACGGCACCACTGTGTCCACCAGATTTGCATACAAGAGCTGGGAAAAGACACACAATTTGCATTAGTAAAAGTTTGGGTTTTTTTCATCTTCTGAGCAACAGGTGTCGCTATACTCACAGGAAATCTGTTTAACAGGTCCGTGAACATCTGCGTGGTCAGAGGACTCCTCCTCCTACTCATGTATGAGGTCACAGCGTCTCTGAAGATGACGGTGACACGATCCATGTCCACGTTTCCCATGAACCTCAGCTGTGAAAACAAGAGACGGATAAGAAAACATCATCTTTTTTGTTCTGACACAGAACACTTTGACCTGTCACCATGAGAAAAATGTGTGAGGTCTTAAATGAACAGAGGGGTTGATGATTAAATGACTCCAGTAATAATGAGAGCACAATGTTACAAAGGGAACGAACACAAGAACACATCACTGTGAACACACATCATTTTGCTGCTTTTCTATGGTCAAAATCTATGATTTGAAAGAAGTCTGTTGTCGAAAATGTGCAGGAATAAAACAAAAAAATCAATGGCAAACACGACGAAAACATTAGTTTTTCATTGAAAAGCGATGAAGGGAGAGATTTTACATTTGAAAAATTAACAAATTAACCTTAAGTACAGAGTACAATGTTATTGAAGTTTTCAAATGTGTTAAGGGTCTTTAATTATATAAAATAAAGAAAAACATATCAAGTTGGAATTAAGTCACAGAATCACAGAAACATACAACTTCCCTGAGTTGTAAAATTAACTGATAATTAAATAAAAATAAAAATACTCGAAGGACTCCTGATGTCTAAGTTATCAGCACTGACCCACTTCCTGACCCAGTTAGGAACACAGTGAGATCCTATTTAATTTGATGCTGACCTGGATATTATTACATGTCAGACGGAAACACGTTTTCAACACTTAATGTCCACATCGTCACTGACCAACTTCGTGAACTTGTTTGGAGGAATGTTTGGTTCGGGATATACGTGCAATTTATTCTCAGTGAAGCTTAAAGGTACAATATGTAGGAATTAAACCACAATAAATATGAAATAAATATTAAATGTGATTTAATGGTGATGGTATCACCATGTAGTTTCCCAGCCAAATCATATTCTCAGTAACCTTGCATCAGTGATCACTAACTAAATATTACTTATATCATGTGGATATAAAAGTAAATTCGATTTTTTTTATTCTTTTGTGGATTTTTTTTTTAAATAAGGATGTTCTATGACTAAACCCAAACTGTGGACCTTTTTTTTTGCTTATGTTGTCTATAAAAGTGGTTTTGCAGTTAAATAAATATCATACACTCTCCCATAAGACAAGAAACTGTGAGGTTAGAAACACAGAGGTCAGATGTGAATTCTTAATAATGTGAATATAAGTTTACTTCTGTGTCTGTCGATTTCTCTGCTGTCTTCTTCTCTTCTGTCTCAGCGGTGGGTGGAACTCCTCGCAGGACTTTGACCAAATATAGGCACGCACTGTAAGGACAGAAAGAGGTCTTAGTGACGTAGCAAAGTTTTAAAATGTTGGATGTGTAACATGGTTGGACATCATTTATGTTCATCTCAGTCGGTGGAAGTTGTACCTGAAGTAATAGAGGCAGACTGTAGAGTCAGACAGTTTCTTGGCTTTCGTCATCAGTTTGTCCAGCAGGTCATGGAGCTCCCCCTGTCGGTCACCAACAGTCCTGCAGTAAACCTTGGATCTACACAGCTGGTTCCTATTAATTAATTAAACAACATGCAAGAAATTGATTTAAAGCCTATTTAAATTCAAACGAAGGATTTGTTGTATTTTTAAACCGTTTCACATGGAAATTTAAATATGTTCCTTTTTTTTTGTTTAAAATATACATTTTCGTGTATATTGATTTAAGCATTTAAAACAATTTTAGTTTTAGTAATTTTGGAAGCTCCAATGTCATGTAATAAAAGATAAAATAACATAAAAATGAATATTAACCAGAAATACTACTTCAAATTGGTATTTTTTAACACGCTTTATTTATATATTTATAACATGCAGGTTTATTGCGAACACAAAGTACCCACTGTTGTTGTGAATCACCGTGTGAAGCATGTTACCTGAAGATGTCTGCAGCTCTGCGCAGGAAGTCCTGCTCCTGCTGGTTGTTGTCGGCGCTCATTCCTCTGTCGATAAGTGCCAGCAGTGGCTCCACTAAGCCCAACACTAGAGGGCTGCCTGCCTGCCGCGCCACAAACACTTCGATGAGGTCCAACACCTACATCAGCCAAACAAAGACAGGATCAAATATTGATTATAAAAACATCAGTGCCGTTTTATTAACTCTTCACTCACCTACAGTAAATTTTAGACCTGAAATTAAGTTTTACTGTTGGCCTTTTAATGCCCTGAATCAGACGTGAGTGATTTCATCATTTCTTGCAGACAAAATAAGACACTGAGGTCAAATCGTTTTTTATTGGAAGTGCCCAAAACCAGATATGAACGCTGGGGCGATTCGGGCCAGTTTACAAACCCATTTTTTTGTAATTGCTTTAAATGCCTACCAGTTTTGTGACATTTTATCTTTGGTCTTTTATTCTGTTCTTGTTGTTCTAATTCAACATACCTTTTTAATTTCCTCTCTTCTGGTTTTATTTCACCATTTGTTCCTGTTTATATTAAATGTAACTGATTCAATGTTAAGCAATTTGGTCGCCTTTGGGATGTTGTGAAGGGACATACCGTATAAATAAATGTCATTGTTGTTGATTATTACCTACAAGGACAAACCTGGTCTGATTCAAGACCTAGGAATGAGGACAAGATACCTTGATCTTGAAGTCTCGGACCAGCGTCTTCTCTTTCTTTATTTTTGCCTTCTCATCTTTCTTGGCCTGGATCTTTTTCTTCTGCTCAGAGAACAAAGCTGCCAGGCTCTTGTCCAGCTCCATCATGGCGTCATCGTCTATATCATCATCACTGCTGTCGTCTTCCTGTGTGGCCTGAGTAAAGCAACAAGAACAATTATCTGCACGTCTGCTCAGACTGTCCTGATAACTATACTACATTGGACAAGGACCCGACATAAGGTCAAAGGTCAAAGTACAAGGAATCAAATCTATGTTGACTGTCTTGTTTTAGAGATCAGGCACACATTAGAACCGGTTTAATGAATCTGCTGAGAAACCTGGAGGTTCTGAAGGACTCACCGCAGCATTCTGTTGCTGTAAAACCTTCATCAACTCCAGACGGAAATTATGGTCCACCACCTCTCCTTCCATGTCCTCCTCCTCCTCCCCTTCTTCTTCCATAGCTTCATCGTCATCATCACTGTCAGAATCATCTGCTCCGTCTGACGCCTCTTCCTGGAAATAACCACATATTTAAAGATTGACTGAAATACTTTGGTCTGTAAATAAAATAAACCATTGTATATGAGCCTCGTGTTACAGATCAGACACAGCGTCAGACTGACTTCCATTTCCTCCTCCTCCTCCTCCCCATCGTCGTCATCTCCTTCCTTCCGTTTCTTCTTTTTCGTGCCGTCATCGGTGACAACCACAGCAGCGTCTTCATCATCATTCTCCGAGTCCAAAACCTGCACAATAATCAGACTGGTGATGAGCCACTAGGTGTATACTCTGCACGAACAGCTAAAAGAAGAACAATTATACATTTTCAGGAGTCGTCACTGACAAGAGAAATAAATCTGGTTTGTGAAGAGAAAAAAAGCTCACAAATATTTATACACACACTAATTTACTGTTTCATTTTTAACATTTTTTTAAATTTTCATTTAATGGGTTGACTATGAATAAAAAATATTTAATCAACTCTGTGCACCAGTGAATTTATTTTATTTAATTTTAAACAGATTTCATGACATCATCTAAACCATCTCCATGACAACAAAAACAAACAATCTCAACCAATAACGTCCACAAATGTACTCCAGGGTTTTATCTTGTAAATAACTGACAGTTACTATTTGGAAATGTGTGATGCCGAGTGTACTACTCACGTCTATGATGGCGTTGAGGGCGGTCGCAGTCACATGAGGACAGATGGAAGAGAAGACGGTTTTGCAGACCTGTCTGATGAGTCGACTGGGCTGAGACAGCAGGGAAAGCAAGATGTCAACCATCACCTCCACCCACTCGGGTTCCTCCTCCTCCTGCTCTGTGGTAGCAACCAGGAAAACACACAAACCAGAGGATTTTTAGCAGCAAGGCGTGATTTTAATGACAACTGAGAACGAGCTGTGAACACAGCGCCCGACACGACTGAGTTCACAGATATTTAAGCCACCAAAACAAAGAGTCGGTGAATCACACATCACATTCACACAGCACTGAGCTTCACCTTGTTTCTTCTTTTTCTTCTTCTTGGATTTCTTCTCCTGGGCCTTGTCCACACAGCTCTGAAGATCTTTCATGATGTCCAGCAGCTCGTCAGGGGCCTGCAGAGGGAAATAGTCGTGAGATCTTTCAGGACGTAGGGTGGTCTTCAAAACAGCAGAACTATATTCTGTGGCAGCCCGACTGTAAGGTGGCGCTACTTGGTTTTAGTACCTTGAAGAGGTTCATACCAACCAACAGGAAGAGCTGCTGGAAGGCACTGCTCTCTGCCGTTTGGACTTTCTTTGCTTTCTTCTTCAGGGTTGTCACAGACTCCAACATGCTGCAGGGCGTGAAGAAACCCACACAAACACCGTAAATTAGAATATAGAAGACGAGTGGATAGGAGGAGACATCATGTTCTACTAAGACCATCGCAGACATTATAAAATAAAAAAAATAAGCTCCTGTGTCACAACATGCTCCCACTTATTTAAAGTTAACATTCCCAGTATATGATTCCCTGCTTCTTTTTCTCCTACACATTAGAACTGTATGACTACTGTGAGATCACCTGTCCCAGGCCTGTTTCTGCTCAGCACTGAACGGCTGGCAGCTCTGGACATATTTGGGCTGGTGAAGCAGGACTTGAGCGAACTGAACCAGGTGGTAGATCCACATGGTGCCGTCAGACGTCACGCCCAAACCCCGCTTCTGGTTGACAGCGGCCCCTTCTGCTGAGTCCTCAGCTGGGGGGAGGTGGTGAAGGGACAGGAGAAGACTGTGGAGGATGAAGATGACAGAGATGAGTCAGGAAAACGTACACATACACATTTTGTGTTTCCACAGTATAGCGGTTAGCACGCCTGAGAAACGTACACATACACATTTTGTGGTTCCACAGTATAGCGGTTAGCACGCCTGCTTTGTAAGCAGTGGGTCCTGGATCCCAGAGAACCCAACTACCTACCGCCTCTAGGAGGCAGCCTGTTGCAGCAGATCTGCAGTTAAAATTCCCAAAGTGGGATCAATAAGGTTCATAATATAAAATAAAAATTCAAAACAGTAATTGATGTCAATAAAATGAGAAACATAAAATGAAAAACAACAGTGATTATCAGGTGATGATTTACAGATTTCATTGTTTCTTACCCAAAGAAAGAGCTGACCAGCACAGGTCTGGTGTCTTCATCAATAGGAGCAGAGAGTTTCACTGTCGTCTCCTGGATTTCATCTGAAGGCTTCTTGGTTGTAAAGAAAGCATGGAAAAAGACAAACCTGGAGGAAACATTTCAAAAATGAAATCATGTCATTGTAAATCCTTCAGCACAAAGACGTCCACATTTGGTTTCTGTCTCACCTCGCTACGTCCATGATGAGATCCTCCTGCTTCTTTACCTGGTTGTTGTCAATGATCGAGACCAGACGTGCAACAATCCACTTCCGCAACCGGAAGATTAAATTTTCATCTCTGAGCAAAGAGAGTTGACAGTTACGTCCTATTTATATCCCTCCACCCTCCTTTTCAAGTATTTGAGATACTACAGTAAATTTGACATATGATGAGTCCACTCACTGGTCCTGTCTTTCCTGGTTTTCTTTCTGCTTGCGGGTGCTGAAGTTCAGCAGCTGCCCCAGCTGAGGTTCAATGAACATGCTCTTTAGCCACTCCACATACTTCTGCAGAGCTGCAGGCTGCAGGAACTGCACCACCCTCCACACGGACGGCACCACAGGGTAACCCTGGTTGGTCAGTGACGAGAAGGCCACCATCACTGCCAGCTGTTTGTCCGAATCCTCACAGCTCTGCAGGAAGTTGGACACGTAGGTTTCCATCTCCGGAGCCAACTTGAATCTTTCTGGAAGCTGGAACAGGTCAGTGATGGCAGATATTATAACTGAAGTTTCAGGTATGGACAAAAGTCTGAATTAAACCATTATCTTGTCTTGTTTATGAGGAGTTATTGAGTTTCCTTGCCTTAATACAAATGTGTTTGTTATGTAAATATATTTAATATAAATAAACTTCAGCCTCAACGCTCCACTTTCCTCCTAACTTGGATTTTATTCTTTTTAAAACTGCCGTTTATTATCATCACAACAACTGCTGCAAAGGAATTAAGGATTATGTGGTTGAAGAAGCTGTGTGAGTAGAGTAAAGGCAGACTTGTAGAAATGCTTGTTTTGTCTCTGACAGCTTGTCATGTTCACTGACTTGTGCAGTCACCACATGTTCTCCGTAGAGCATCATCACTTCTCCAGACAACACATCCTTCAGCTGGTCCAGAGACAGCAGAGGCAGAGCGCTGCCCAGCAGACGGAAGCTCAAGTAACTGGACACAAACATGACAATGGTGTTTAAACATTTTGGTGACAAAATTGTTGAGTTAATCTTTTTTTCTTTTTTTTTTAACTCACCGGGTCGGTCCCTGCTCACTCAACATGCCTTCAACGATGGCTTTGTCCCAGAAGAGCTCGAAGCTGTCCTCCTTCAGGGAGAGCTTCAAGAGATCCAGAGCCATTGAAGGGAGAACGCATTCCTTCTTCACTGAGCGGGCTGCAGCCTTTAACACCTCTGTCAGCCTGTAGCAATAAACATTATGTGTCATTTTCACTGTGTTAACTTAAATATTTAAACAACAGACCTTACCAACTGTGACGTTCTCACCTTGGGATGTTCTCACAGTTAATGATGGTGGATGAGCCCAGCAGCTTCTTGAGTTTCTTGGGTTTGAGGGTTTCTGGAAAACGCTGCAGTGCCACCAGCAGCAGCTGCATCTGCTCCGGGGTGCTGAAGGCTGAGGCCAGCTCTGTTCTCAAGGTGCTCAGAAGGACTTCCTCAAAAACCTCCTCTGGGATCTGACACACAAAAGACAATAAAGTCCCAATAAAATGAATCTGTCAAAATGGCTCAACCCCTATATTCTGTAGTAAGAATGTGAGTTATGATGTATTAAGAGAGTGTAACCTAAATGTCACCTCAGTGAGGATGTCCTTCATGGTCTTTGTGGGCAGATCTTTCAGGTGTTGTCTGTGTTGGCTAAGGCTCTGGAGGAGCTGCACACATCCCAGCACCACTTGCGGCTCCTGCAGACAATGACACCATTATGTTACACTTAACCTCACAGAAGGAATGAGCTGCAGAAAAGGTCTCCAGTCAAGAGTCTTAATGCAGTAACATTTCTACTTTAAGAGATGTGCAAGTACTCACTTTGGACAGGCGGCCAGACTGATGAAGAGCAAGGACACCAAACAGGTTTCCAAACAAAGCATTTCTGAAAAGTTTCTATATATAAAAAAAACACACAGGAAAACTTGTCAGACACAGGTTTGACTCACAAAGCAGCTAAAATTCAAAACAAAATGCTTACCTTCTTGACTGCCTGTAAGTTGTGTTTCTCATTGATTCTGTCCAGGATGCTCTGCAGAGACACATCTTCAAATGCATTCAAAACCTGGGGATGAAAAAAACCAATGTCAAAAAATGTTCTTCCTTTTATAAAACAGCTAATTTGGTAGAATCGCTGTTTCTTCATGGAATGTTTTAGAAAGTACTTTAACTTTACAAAACTTAACAAAAAAGAGATTATGATGATAATAATAATTATTATCATACTCACTTGACCGAGGGCCAGACTGAAGCCAGGTCTTGCAGCCTCTCGTGTGTGCGCCAGTCCATCCACGAGCCGCTTAAATGTGTATTCCAGTTCATCTTCCTGTGGTAACCAGAAACGACCATAACATAGGAGACTAGTTCAAAAACTATTAGTTCAAATTCACTCACTTTATGCTACAATTTTTTAAATAACATTTAGTGTTATAGTAACTGTTTCGCAGATAAACATTTTTTTTCTACTATTCCAAAACAAAAAAGGTAAAGCCATTGAACTGCTTTACTTTTTATTTTAAACAGATACACTACTCAGAATAACATCCAACACTGAAGTTGAAGAATTGAAAACAATGCTATGGATTTATATTTTTCCTTGTGGAGTCCAACTTCTTGTTTTCTTCGTTTATATTCCTACATTATCATAGTGGTTTACAGTAACACTGGTTTCCTAACCTTGTTGTTGGTCTTCAAGTACTGAATCAAGTTCTCTACTGCAGATAATCGAACCTCCTGGTCCGGTTTGGCCAAGTCCCAGAAGAAGTCTAAGAAGACTCGGTTCTGTTGCAGGACTCCGGCGGGCCGGACAGGCGCTGAAGCTTTAACAGAAAGCTCCACCATATCTACAAACGTTAGCTCTCACACTGACGTTTAGTTGTACATGCTGCACAGAAGGAAAACGTGCCTCGGAGAACAGCAAGTGTTTCCGGTTCACGCTCCTCCTACTTCCTGTTTACGTATTCGGAAAATCGAACCATACCGATTACTGCCGACAAAAACATTTTTACTATAGTCATTAAGAGTCGCTAAAATACAAACATTAAAATATATTATGTGTACCAAGTATGTATTTGAAAGCATTAACATTATTTAAAGCT